GCTGAAAATAAATAAACATTTCCTAAACATTTTAATGGTAATTTTTTTTCCTTTATTTTTTTTGCTACTAATAACTATTAATAAGAAACAACATTTTGATTTGGGGATGGTTTCAAACAGGATAATTAAAATTATTTTTTGGGGGTGGGGGTGGTTCCAGGATAATACTGGAAAAAAAAAAATAATAAAACACACATTTGTCTGGGTCCTGGTTACATTACATTCATTGTTATATCTAGCACTGTGCAAAGGAATTTCAGAATTCATAATGTACTCCAGAAGGATGATAAATACAAATCTCCTGACTGGAAAATACAACAGCTAAAACAATGAAAAGAACAAAAATGGTAACAGTAGACACACAACAACTCATAAATTTAGACAAAAAAAAAAATTAAGGTTTTTTGGGATATATTTTCTGAAGAAGCTTCAGTTTAAATTCTTTAGAGAAAATACAATAAAACTGAGTGAAATGTGTAGTATATAGTCAAGATAAAAAACGGATTCAAGAAGAATCAATTATACGATCAACACTGTAAGGATAAAAATATGTTTGAAACAGATACGGAAGAGTCATGCTTAACAGTGAAACAAAGTGCTACAATGATCACATCTAATGTTATTTGCTTTATTACTAACAACGACAAAAATACCTTTTCAATGTTGTCTTGTCAAAAAGAAAACTGAAAAATATTTAGACTCAAAAATAAGAAAAATAAAACAAAAAAAAAATCACCTAGATTTATAAACATAAATGAATAAATAAAAACTAGCTTATATAGATACACAAGCTTATATAGATACAAAAAATAAAAGGTGATAAAAAAATATAACTACAGTGAATAACAACATATTTTATCACAACTAATGATGCAAAATCATTTTAAAAATTCCATTTTAATATTCATGTTTTTTTTTTAATCTACCATATATACTTGCATTTCATGTGACTTTTGAAGACCTAATTTTGAAGCTAATATTAAGTGGGGGTCACATCATACACGAGACATAAAATTAACAGATGTACCACTGGCTCTGGCTACGCCATTGAACAAACAATATAACCATTTACTGTAGTCAAATTAGCTTCACAATTAGGTCTTCAAAAGTCACATGATACATGAGTATATCTATAATTGTAAAATGAGGCCTGGTCATAATTTATTTGGACCATTATCCTCATCATTGTTGCTTAGAAACAACATTTTGGCCTGTGTACACTTCAGCCTTCATCAAGTATATAATGTTGCTTTTGGTTGCCTTTGGTGAACTTTAAGCAGCACTTTATTTCACAAATAGTGGGACTGATAGCTCACTTCATATTCAGATAGAATATTATTAAATAAACAGATTATTCCATCAGAGTTAGGATCATATTACCATTGTTAACTCCACAATCCTTTTATTGGCTGTATAGTATGTGATTTGCCAGGGCTACATATAATGTATATTTCTGAGATGAGGTATTATCAACACTATTTACATTATTCAGACTATTGTCCTCATCTTTGTTACCATATTTATCACAATATTTTGGCCGTTGTATGCCCCAGGATTCTTCAGGTGGTTGGAATGTCAAACTGAACCCTTTATTTCACTAATGGGGTAGACTACTCTAGTTCCACATGCCATGTCTAATGGATGTCAGTTATCAGTTATCTTCTTAAGAACACATGGCACAGTGGATAAAGGCATTGGTTTGATCCAGTGACAACACCCAAAGAGTGTGAGTTCAATACCTTGTTATGGCAGTGGAGAACTTGGAGAGGTCAATTAACAGGAGACAACTGATAACTGACATCAATTAGACATGGCATGTGGAACTAGAATAGTCTACCCCCAGTGAGTGAAGGGTTCAGTTCAACATTCCAACCACCTGAAGAATGCCAGAGCATACAACGGCCGAAACGTTGTGATAAATATGGCAACAAAGATGAGGACAATAGGTCAGAATAATGTAAATAGTGTAGATAATACCTCATCTCAGAAATATAGACAGATACCATTAGTGCATGGTGCCCATTTTTTTTTTATTTTTTAGAGAGAGGATTAGCTAAAATTTAAAATCCACTAGCTCTAAGATTATCATTAGGCAGCAAGGTAGAGGAGACAAAAACAGCTAAAATTTTAGGGAAACTTTGTTTAGTAATGAGATAATTTTGTGATTATTATTACTAATATTGAATATACAACAGAACACTTCAAGAAGAGAAAGTCACTCTGGCCCAAAAGTAAATTAGTTTGGAAAAAGGCATACAATATCAATTTTTAGGTAATTCTTCAAAAATTTAGAGGGTGGCTCCAAACTTTTAGCCTGTCTCTTGGCCTGGGAATCAAAATCACAAACATAATGGTAAAATGGAATTAAAGATAGAATTTTTTTTATTGATTATCCTATAGAATATAAGAGTGAGAACTTTATTTTTAGCCTTCGATTTGTGCCCGGAGTTTTAATCTGATCAACAAGTTTTCTTGTACTGAATATTTAGTAAGTATTGCTTAATATACCCCTAGTGCAAATGTGGGTTAGGAAGAATGTGTTGCACCAATCTTTTAATTGGCTTATCTATATTGAAAATCAGCATTTAAAATCCAGATTTTTTTAACTTTTGATTATGATCTCAAACACTGACCACCAGCATCACTAGAAAATACACAACCATCTCAGCCATGATGTATGCCCTGTTGGTATTACATTTTGCATTTGAACTCTAGTATACAGCTTTCTTGAGCTGCATTAGAAAATTCAGGAACTATATATTGGAAATATCAGTTGACCAATAGAGAATGAAATATTAAGTTCAGTCTCAAAAAAAAAAAAAAACACTGACTGGCAAATGACAGATTTGAGGAGGATATCCTCAGGAATGAAATAAAGAGTATTTGTCCAAAAGTCATTTGAAGACTATTGGATTTTTGACATTTTGTTTTCAATCATTTCACCTCAAGCAAGACAATAAAGCCACTAAGGTAGAAGAGGTTACTAAGTGTGAAAGAATCTGAGAAAAAAAAAAGAAAAACATTATTAAGGAGAGAGAAGAATAAAAGAACAGGAATTAAGAAGACAAAAGATAACAAATGAGATTGCATTTAAATTTGCTGAAAATCAAATTTGACTGGAAAGTAAGCAGCTGGAAGAGAGTTCCATAAGCGAGAAGTACAAGAGAAGTAACTGTTAGTATAGAAGTTATGGTTGCATCTAGCCATTTTAACTGTAAAATGATGAGAGCTAGATGTCTATATCGAACTGCATTTAAATTTGTAAAGTCAGGATACTAAAGAGGAAAGCTCATCAGAACAATTACCATGAAATTATTTATAGAAAAGTCACAGGGAATCTTACATTACAGCAGTGGGAAAATGAGTGAAGCTGAGATTCCAGGTCAGGATCGATAATGTTGCAAATTTTCTTTTGATTTTATCAAGAATCTTTAAATACATAGTGGAAGCACAAGACCAAATGTGGCAGCAGTATTCAATGCATGGTTAAATGGTAGATTTATAAATGTGTAAGACAGATTCTCTGAGAAAAATTGTCTAGTATGACACACGGAGAATCAACTTTTCCAGCAGTAGACCTAACAATTGATTCTATATAATCTTTTTACTTCATGTCTGCAGAAAACATTAACCTGAGAAGGCACAATGACTTATTCTGCTGGAGGTTAGCACTAGCCATGCTAATGAAAGGCAAAAAGGTTCTCAAAGCTGAATAAAAGAGAGCAGTTTTGGAGGCATTAAAATTAGCAAGCCATTTCTTGCCCTATTTAACAACAGATTGTAGGTATTGCATTAAGTCATAATGAAGTTTAGACAAGAGAATAGCCAACATGATGATGATAATGACCCAAATAAATCATTCATATATTTTTCTAATATAAAAAAAATAGTGAACATAAGATTGTTAACATAAATATTAAAAAAAAACTATCACGGAATATAAAAACCTTTAATGAAACAGATATAAAGCATAAAAGATAATATTACTAGAATAAACAAATTAAATTTGTTAATACAGCTAACTGTGGGTATTTCTAACAACAAATATAAAAAAAGAACACGACTGTCTTGTAATAGATATGACATTTGGTGTATGAAATGGACATGCAAATTTAACTATTCTTTTACAGAGATAATAGAGTAAGTAAAAGTTTTATATACTGTTAGTAATTAAACTAAATGGTAATTTGATATTCTGATGTCATTTATCATTTAATAAGACATAAAATTGTTTGAAATTTGAATATTTGCGTCTTATTGAAATCAAAGATTTTATCAATGACTCTTTTCTTTTCAAATCTAATGAAACAGGAAAATTGGAAAAACAATTGTTTTTAATTACACACACTATAATTTTGGATAGTTTTCTTTTCTGAAGAGATAACATGCACCTATGAAAACACATCAAACTAGTTTCATACTATTTTTATCTGTTATAAAAAAAGAAACAATTACCCTAACCACAATGAGAAGTTCAGTGTAGTTATTTATGAAGCATAACTTAGTTTTGGTATAAGATCACGAGTATGGGGCACCTTGTGAGTTTTAAATTTGGTAGTAATAATCTGTGAGAGCAGATTGTGAAACAGTGCATACATCTCAATGTATAATTTGAACATATAGTATCTATTTGAATTGGATTTTGAGAAAGAGATTTTAAGTTAGTACATAAAAAAATTTAGTTAACATTTAGCACTTTGCATCATTTATAAATATTACTTCTCCTTTTATTGTATATGAAATCCCCTCAAAATATAGTGTTTATATATTAGTTCTATTTGAAATTGTAATAATCTAGCACTCAATATCAGTCAAGATTGTTTTAAGTGTTGCCACTGAAGGATATAACTAAACAACCAAGAAATTCAAATTCAACTTGCATTGTCAGGACTAACATTTTGGTTGGTGAAAATAGTTAGCTAGAGTGCTAAAGGTTAAAGAAACATTTCATAGTGATAATAAACACATGTTTTAAGGTATAATGGAAAAATTGTACATACCTAGGTTTAGCAACACCTGTACCGATCAATTTCACATATGACTTAGGGAACCAACCTTCCTGAAATGGACAATATTTTAAAGAAAAAATCAGAGGTGAGTAATTATCATCACAAGAGTTGTTCAGAGTGTTAGCAATAAAAACATGAACAAGTTTAACAGAACAAACAATTTCAGGAATTAAAAAAAAAGTTAATTTAAAGATATTTATACTTAAAACCACTTCTATAACTGCAACAATATATTAGTTTATAAGGGAACATAATAACTGAAATGATGCCAATCCTTCTAATATTAGAATACAAGACAATTTGAGAGCAAAAACCTAATATAATTCCATGAACAAAAAACAGAAAAACAAAATCTATGACTAAATGAACAATTTTTTCAGCCTTTTTCTTTTAAAATAAAATTTAAACTACTGATGCTTTGAAATAAGATGCTATTATTATACAATATCATAGTTACTGTTATCAAAAGGCTTCTTTGAGACTGAGATTTTTTTTAATTTGATTGATTTGTTTTTTTTTGTTTTTTTTTTTTTTACAGCATTACAACTCTTTCCTGGTTATTTAAAGTCAGAAAATATTTTTAATAAAATATATATATGTTTATTCTATATCTTTTCTTTGTAAATTTTAGTTCATGTTGAAATTTATTTATACAATCTCCTAGCTTTTCTGCATTGAATTTAAGATAAATCCTCACCCTATTTTCTGAATTGTTCAAAAGCAAAAGATCCATATAGCCACTTCTGAAATTAATTTAAGATAAATCCTTGTCCAGTTTTTCAGAATGAGTTGAAAGTAAAAGATTTATATGTTTTTAGGTATATGTGTTTATATATGTGAGAATATATAAATAACTTCCAACATGAAGTAAAAATTATAAAGATACAGAATATATATAAAATCTAATGAGCTGACCTACCTAGAAATCTAGGTAGGTAGGTTCTGGCTCATTAAGTTTTGTAGTTTTTGCTCTACTTAGTGTATTGAACACTTTTACGTTTTAACTTAAGTGACTGTCAGTGTTTTTAATTTTTTTGCTGAACATTGTTGCTGATTGATTATTTTCAAGCATTCATATGTTTTATTCTTTTCTTTTTTTATTGAAAATTTTTCCCTGATATCTGTTTGTTTATATATATATATATATATTTTAATACCTATACTCAGGTGGTGTGAAAAAACCCTGATAATACAATTTGTAAATAAAAATATTAAACAAACAGATATCAGGGAAAAAACTTCAATAAAAAAAAAAAAAGAATAAAAATCCATGCTGCTTGAAAATAATCAATCAGCACCGCAATGTCTAGCCAAAATTAAAAACACTGACAGTCACTTTTCATTTCAGCTTTTGGAAGTAAAGTCTGATGATCCAGAACCCTGTTAAAGGGTTTATGGTGAAATAGCTTATTACATGGAATCTTAACGTGGTCTGTCTTTTATTCAAAAAATATATATATATATATATATATATATATATATATATAAAAAGATATTGCACATTGAGTGCTGATGTTAATAAATATACTTATTATTCCTCACTGGTAGCAAAACTGAGTTTCATGTACAATGCAATCTTGCATTGTTCATGAAACTCCAAATTGTGCTACAGGTGAGAAATTATATATATATATATATATATATATATATATATATTTACATATGCACACACACAAAGTTTTAATAAATTATAAAGCAGACACACCCTTCCATTGAGTTCCCCTGACCACCACATGTCTTGCTGTTCTTTCACGATGATAGTGTCACCTTTATTGAATGTCAAATGATTTTCTTTCTTTGCTTTCCAAGGGTATAATGCCACAGCCTGTAAACCTTCTGGAGCAGCCATACCCTGTAAAAAGTTCATAAAAGAAGATAAAATTACTTCTAAAACAAAAGTGAAATATATCTAACAAATTGTTTGCTTGCATGAAAATAATTACTCATTACATTACCAACTGTAAATAGCTTAAAAACAAAAGAAACATCAATTGACATTATTTTTAGATTCTCAAAATACTGTTAATTTTACTGAATTTTCAGCACAATGCACCAACACATTAATAAAAACTGTCCGATGAAATGTTAAATTAGGAGGTGTTGGCATTTTAATGGTTAATAAAGGAAATTGGAAAAGATTTCAAACTGGTTGTGATAGCTTACATACATTTTACATTAATGCTGTTAGTCTTTATACATTGTAAGGGGAGGAGACATGGTGGAGTAATGGATAGCGGCTTGAATTGAGGAATCGGAGAACTGAGTTCGAATTCCAGTCAAATCCAATACATTAACTTATGTGACCCTTGGAAAAGGTATGAATCCTCTTCTTCTCATCCCCCCCCAGCTATGGGTAAATAGCAGGACAGACTGGGTTCTATAACTTGGCCTATTGCAGAAAGAAATGGCAACCTACGGTAGGGAAAAAAATCTGCTTTGTCGTCATGTACCGAAAAATTCGTGTATCACGTAATGGCACATAACTGACTAAAGAGGAAACATCTTGGGTGTTCTATAAAAAGTCAGGTCAGGAATTGTCCTTTTTTTTTTTTACTAAATACAATACAAAGTTTGAGTGCTATTCAATGTAGAGGGTTACAGAGTCGAAATGTTAATGATGAACAAGGTGTGTAATAGAGAAGGTGGTAGGAAGTAAAGATTATGAAAATAAAGAGGATAGATAATGGTTGATGTTTGACTTTGACGGGAGTCTGTTTCTTCACAAAGTGGTAGTTGTTGGGGAAAAGCTGTCAGAGTAGAACCTTATTCTTGTGCTTAAAACCCAGAAGAAATAATGGTGATACAACTCTGTGGAAGTAGTATGGGGAGTGTCTTAGCTGTAAAAGCCTGAACTAGTGGAACTAAAGAATGGAGTGCTCATATGAATGATATTATTTTTTCTGGAGATGTGTCAGCCAAAAGGTACCTAAAATTTTAATCGCTGTGAAACTTTTGTATCCTTTTTTATGAATAAAATATAATCCCTTTTTTTAAAGACGAGATATATATATATATATATATATATATATATATATATAATAAAAAAGTCTAATTAATTTAATTTCCCTTATTAAATAAACCCATAAAAACAATCCTTGTCATCAACTTAGCCATTATCAATTGTTGCTGTTAATTTTCAAGTACATTTCTGATGCATAGTTTCCACTGATCTTCCGCATCCATATGGATGTGCCCTTTTCTTTTGCACAATAACCAAACAGAAGGGATGAGGCACAACACAGGTCAACACAGGAACTTAGTTTTCCCTCCCATGATGATATATAATGACATCTGTAGTGATTAAAAGTCTTCTAGAGATAACCACATTGAATGGAGGAGAAAGATTTCCAAAACTGCCGACAAAATTATGCTAGGCACAGGAAAAAAACAGATAATTGATTGTTACTCTACCTGCCCAGGAGTAGGAGAACCAGTTACAGCTCGAGACTGTACAGCAGTAAAAGATGAATCCTCAGAAGCTGATAAAGTACTTGCTGGTTGTTGACCACTGAGAAAGAAAAACAGAAGAAAATAAAGTTAATCTTTATTATATATATATATATATATATAGTCCATTTAAAGTTGACACAATGAAAATTTCAATATTTTTTTAAAAAGTGAATTATCTATATGATTATTCTATTATTATTCTGTCCCACTGTTACGCTATTCTATTCAGGATCAAAGTGTAGTATCTCCAACCATTCTGAACTGGAATTGGCTGCACTTTCTTACCAAGAAATCTATATAAAAACATTAAATGGGAAGGAATAAGGGAAAATAAGAGAGAAAAGAGAGGAAGTAAGAAAGCTAGAGACAAATGACAAGAACAGGTAATATATATATATATATATATATATATATATATATATATATATATATTTAAATGCCCATTAATGAATTGTATTCCTGATGAATCAAAATTCGTAAATAATTATATAAGCCACACTACAACATGTTTGACATGAAGACTCACTCTATACCTTTCTAACCATAGCTCAATTAGATCTCATTTAAATATTTATGGGGACCTACTGGACACTATTCGAAACGTACTTGTTGACAACACTAATAGCATCATCTGCATACAAAAAAAGGCTAAAAATAATGGAAGCCTTATTAATAAAAGCAAAAAATCATCACTTAATAATATTAACTTTGAACATGAACACAATGTCTTGACCGCATTTTGAAAAGTGAAAACATTTTATAAAACATATATACAACAAACTATTTCTTAGTTAACAGTTAAAATATTTAATACTTGAAAATGGCTAAATGTATAGCCAAAAGCGCTCGGATAAAAAGAACATCTGGACAGTTTTTATATAATTTACCATCTGAAAAGAAAAAAAAATTCTCGCATGAGAAATTGTATAAAAAACTAAATCAAAGCACCTTGTCTGTCGTATTCAATGAAATATATATATATATATATATATATATATATATATATATATATATATGAGTGTGTGTGTGAACTGAGATCAAATACAGATTAGAATTTGACAGAATGATAGGATAAGGAACATTTAAGAAAAATATTGTAAACAATGTCTCTTGATTTGTTAACATGGAACAGGCAAGGAGAGATGCCAGTTTCCAGTAAATATATAAGGTAAGTTCAATAAACTTATATATACTTACTTTGTAAATAAGTCAGATTCTTCCACATCACAAATATATTCAACATAGTCTTTAGGAAACCATCCACTTCTGCCATCAATTTCACCACTAATCCAGCCAGGCTCAGTACTATTCTGATCACTTGATACCTGCAAAGATGAATAGGTTTTAAATTTTTTTTTTTTTTTAAATGTGAACAGGGAACTAAAACCTATTTCTTCTTCCATGTCTGAAAAAATTTGTATTATGATTTCACAAAAAAAAAAAAAAAAAAAAAAAAACTATTTTAGAAAAGGAACATTTTTTGGTAAACTCATGTTACAATAAATGAAACTCCATTCTAGAAAAGAAACATTTTTTTTTTATTAAATTGTTCTGTTAGTGTTCACATCAGAAGTAACAAAGTTACCTAACTTGCTTTCATGTCTTCTCAAATTATTTTCTATGTGCTGTGTCTCTTTAGGCTATCCACAATTTCATGTCCTTTGTAACTCTCAAGATAGAACCATTTAAATTTCTGCAAAACTGAGCCATGTAAGTTACCCGTTTATGAATGAAAACATCCTTCGGAAGGCTTGAGGCATTAAAATGAATTAAAGTTGATGAGAAAAATCATGCAGAAGGGTTACATTGAGCAGAGATCGATAAGAGAAAGATTAGAACCCATTAGTGAATAATGGAAACAGAGCAAGCAAGAACTGAATGCTGGTTAACATAGAAGGATTTAGTAAATCTGGTATAAATAAAATTCACCCAATTCTGGTTTGGTGCTCCTGCTATATATTGAAAGATTCTTGATAAAATCCCAAGAACCTTCAATGTCCTTACCTAACATCTCAGCTTCAGTCAATTTCCCAACTGCCATAACATAGCTTCCCTCTGCTTTTTCTATAAATACTTTCATGGTAATTGTTCTGATGAACTTTCCTCTATGGTACCTAGACTTTATGAATCTAAGCGCAGTACTAGATTGGTGGCAAGGTCTCATTATTGTAAGGTTGAAATGGCTAAACGTAACTGTAAGTTCTATACTAACCATTTCTTCTATCACACCTCTCACTTGTGGAACTCTCTTTTGGCTTCCTGTTTCCCAGTCAACTTTGATCTTCAAAAATTTAAATGCAATGTCAATCATTATCTTCTGTCTTCTTAATTCTTGTTCTTTTATTGTCTTCTCTCATTAATAGTAGTTTTTCTCATTCTCTAACACTCAGTAACCTTTTGCATCCTAGCAGCTTTATTGCCTTGCTTGGGGTGAAATGATTAAAAATAATCCCTCTCTGGTCTGCCTAGACTGGAGTTAATATGATTAATGATTTCTTAGATTAAATCTCAATCAGTCAACCTATTGAAGATATTTACATTTTATACTATTCAGCTAATTCTATGTATAATTGTAGGAAGGATCAAATTTAGTGTCTTGAACTTATCACTTATCAGCATTAAGGGCATTTGCTTTCCAGGCGATGATAGAATCTTGGGAACTTGAGATTAATTGCAAGAAATTAGTCACACATCAATGTCAAGACAAAGGGGAATCATCTATTTATTGAACATACATAGGATTAGATCATTGACCACTTCTTAAGTAGATTATTAATGAACAAACAGACAATTATTATATGGCAGTATTTTCTTGTCATAATCAATACTTAACATGCTAGAGATTGATATTCTTATAATAAACAAAAAGTTGTTGAATTCTAAACAGGCATTGGGTTATTATCGTGTGCAGAAATCAAAGAAATTCCATTTTAGTCAAAGAAGCAAGAAGTTGAAGAATCCTTTAAGTCATGCCACAAATCTATAGACACATAAATGATCTGCCAATTTCTGAGCTATCAAAACTCATGGTCATCAGTAAGAGGAAGAGCCTGAAATACGATTTGCGGGTCGGGAACGCTAGAATCATGCAGACGCGTAAGCTTAAATATCTGGGAAGCGTCTTGACAGAGGATGGTAAGTGTGACACTGAGACCTGTTGGGATGGTCAAGGCCAACATTCCAAAAGCTGGGCAGAGTATTGTGAGACAGGAGGATTTCTTTTGTAACAAAGAAAAGAATATGAGCTGTGATGTGACATCTGTCCTTCTTTATGGCAGTGAATGTTGGATGTTTTCATCAAAGATGAAGAAGAGACTCGAGGTGATGGAGATGTCGTTCTATAAAAGGATAAGGATATCATGGACTGAGCATGTTATCAACGATGAGTTCTTAGAAAGGTTGCAAACAATGGGAAGGCTTATACTTAACATCAGGAAGAGGCAGATGAAGTTTCTGGGACCTGTAATAAGGGCCTGGAGAATCTGATATTCATGGGTTGAATAAAAGGAAAGAGAGACAAGGGAAAGCAGCATGTGACACACCTGGCGGGCTTAAGCAAGTGAATGACAGAATGTGGTCTGGGAGAGGAAGCTGATGGAAGAAACTTGTTGAGAACTGCAAGGAATAGAGGGAAGTGGAGAGCCATGATCGCCTATGTCTTGAAAGGACATGGCACATAAAAAGAAAGAAGATACCACCATTATTGATTACAGGCTTTGGAATCAATAACTGCAGTCCGACACAAAGTCATAATACAATTATGAAAAGAAATTTATTCTTTTTTAAATATTATATTGAATTGAAATCAAAAATAACTTACAATAATAATGTCACCAGGATTCAAGGAAAGTTCATCATGATTTCTTGCTTCAAATTGGTAAAGAGCTCTGTACTGTTGTTTTTTTCCTTAAGTGCCAAAAGAAAAGAAAGCAAATATTGTAATCTCAAAAATTCTTCATGATGAACATATTGATTAATGGGAATTGTTACACTTAAGTAATTATTTCTAAATAAACACTTGTAAATAAATAAAATGTAAAAGTGTTGATAAGCTACATAATGATATACTGTATTTTGCTGCTTAGAAGATGTATTTTATTTCTATAAAATATCTCCAAAAACCACCCTGCGTCCTCTTAATCGGTCAGTGATGGGAGTTAACGTCTCTTTTAATTATTACATTCTAAACAGTTACCATATATTTGGTACTACTTCTCGGTCTTTGATGAATTCGTCATGATTAGTCAGGTTTTCCTGCTGAAATATGCTACCCAGTTGATAAGATTGGAGATAATGGGGAGGGTTATAAAGTACAAGGAAAATATTTTTTCCTGATTACGTCCTTCAAAATTGGGGGGGGGGCATCTAATGCATCAGAGTGTCTAATAAGCTGCAAAGTACAGTAAAATAGTAACTGAATATTTTTGTATAAATAACTTCAAGGAATGAATAAAACAAAACCTGACACTACTGAAGGAAGATAGTCTGCTTGTAAAAAGTAAGGAAAACTTTTTGGTGATTAACATCAATTAAACCTTTCTTTACTTATGTTTGTCAGAATTGAAAAATGTCTTATTCTTAATATAAATATAGTATCAAATGAATCCCTCATTTTTTTATTTTATTTTTAAGGACTTATCTTTGACTTTAGAAATGTCAAATTTGAAACCGTGTCCACAGCATTGATAACAGCATATCACTGATGATAGCCTTTTTTTTTTGCAATTCAGGTTTTTCCTCATTTTTTTAAAAATAAATTTTTGCAAATGAGATTATACATTTTCCTTTGGTTTTATTATGGAGGCACTTTCACAAACATTGGGAGATAATAAATATTTATTCTAAATGAATTAACATCCACTACCAAGTGTTCCAAGAAATAGGACTCAAAATAAACCTTTCCAAAACAAACTATGCTCTGGAATTGGAATGAAAGCAATGATGGCACAGATTCCCTGAATCCAACATAAAATTCATGTGGAATTAGTAAATACTAAAACCCTTCAAATACCTCTGTGCATGGATCAGTTATAACAAATTTAGTATCAGAGATAAGGATAGATTGCTCGGTGCTAGAGGTAATTTTGCCCAATTCTGCAAATTGTTACAAAACCAAAACATTAACTTGAAAAAAATCAAATGTTTTTAAATAGCCTCATCAAATAGAGATTTTCATCATGCATGGTGTCAAACCCATTCAGAAATATTTAAATTGTCAAGCTGTGTACAATTGCTTTACTGGGCTTGAGAAACCTATTTTCCTGAAAAATTGTTTCAAGAGAAAGATTTTATAAATTTCAACTGACAGTAAAACTAGCTGCTTGGTTGATGAATGCCAAATATTTCCTTATAAGGATTTGGCTAATATTGCCATTTGGGATTTCCTACCTTCTCTTTAAATAAATATGTTTTGGCAAAAAACAAATTATTTTTTTATGTGAAAAAGGTAAATTTAAATCCATGCATAGTGTGTATTTGTCTATGTTACGTTCTATTTAGATAAATTTGTATGGCATATGCTTAAATTATAACATGTGGCATATGCTTCAATCATCAAATGTGGCATACACCTAAATTATTATATGTGGCATATGCAACCTTATATAATGTGGCCTTCATAATGAAAAGTTTTGAGACCACTGAGATATTTTTTTTAAAACACAAGAAAAATATGGCTTTCGAATGCTTCGTTTTGAAATAGAAAATACATAAACTTAAAAATATAGCTACATGATTTTCATATAATAGTAATAATGAGAAAAAAACTGAAATACAACCATGATTTATTTATAAAAAAAAAATTTAATCTAGAAAATCTGGATCACTTTAACAGCCAGCTAAACTGGTTTATGAGGGGGCAAGAATGATCAATTGGTAAAACTAAAATGAACAGATATTTTGTAAAGTACATACCAAAAGTTGGTTGACTAGAGAGAGTACTAGTAGTTGTGGTGGTATCAGTTGCCCAAGTATCCTGAGAGTTAGTTTGATTATCTGCAGTTTGATTGCCGAAAGCATCCCAGCCACCTTCAGATGTCACATTCTTATTGTCCACCGCTGCTTGTTCATTGTTAGGCATGGAACTGAAGTCAGCATTGAACCAACCTTCTTGTTTGTTTTCACCAATTTCTAAAATTAATCACCATGAATATATCCATAATTATAGGTAAAAAAAAACAAACTCAACAGTATTTACTTAGTTAAAAAAGAAATAATTTAATTAACATTACAGTATATAATGTTTAAATCTGGTGGAACCTACACATCATCCTGCAGAAATGGAATCTAGCACATGAACTATTATTGTTGGACCTCATGCATACTGATTATTATCATCTGTATATTGTCGTAGATGTCAGAAAATAGTCCTGTCCTCCTCTTTTTAGTGCAATGAGGAGGTACTGCTTTGGAAACAGATCTCCAGGAACTAGGCTTATACTTATGATTCTTGGTCATGAGTGATCAGATTTTACATAAATGGCATGGAATTTCACACAAGAAAATATAAAAGCAATTAATTCAAAGAGAAGCTTTGAGTTCAATGTATATTAACCATTCCCTGACTGAATTTATTTCTCAATGTTACCAGTTTTATGGTAACTCATATTTAAATTCAATTAGAGAGCAATCTATACAAGGTGAACTAAAGGAAATTGGAAAAAGGTAAGAGAGGAGGGAAAAAAGAGTATGGAAGAGGTAAGAATGCTAGAGAAAAAAAAAAAGAACAGGTGAAATATATATATATATATATATATATATATATATATATATATATATAATTTATTTTATTCGAAAATTATAACAAATATGTTATAAAATCAATACAAAAATAGCCATTTTGTTTTGACATTTCTGGTGTCTTATCAAGTGATATATATATTATATATATATATATATATATATTTGAGGAGGCATATTTGAGGTGGATAGTGGTTTGGATTGAGGAATTGGAGAGCCAAGTCCGAATTCCAGTTGAATCCATTCCATTCTCTTACATGCTAATTCCCTTGGGAAAGGTATTAATCCTCTTCTTTTTCCCTCCAGCTATGGGTAAATAGCAGGACAGACTGGGTTCTATAGCCTTGGATAGCAACTGGTCTAGGAGAAGGACAACTCTGTATTCAAAACCTGCGCAGGGGTATTTGCGGACCCTGTGGCACATAGTGCACCAGATTTCTTTATTCGGCTCTTCAAAAAGTGTGGATGGTTCTGCACAAAACCTTCAACACTATAATCAATAATGCTATAATAATCTGCTGGTGTCTGGATGTCAGTTCCTAGGAACTGATCTGTCTGACCCTCATATGTTGAATTTGTCCACATAAGAAACGATAGAGATGAAAGAGAGATGAAAGAATAACACACACAGATTAACTGGCAGGATGTCAAGAAACAATGAGTGAAAGATTAAAATGGAAATGTATAAATTATGAAGAGGGCAAAAGAACATATAGGTTCTCATAGGATTACATTTAATCTATATGCTTGTTTTACAGATCATTACTAGTGTGTTCAATCCTCATTGGGTACTTCTAACTTGTAGCATTATGCTAATGATTTTCTGTTACTGATATTGCTATTTACTAAATAACAATATCAGTGACAGAAAATCTGTTGAAAATCAATTTTATGAACTAGTGATGAAAAATGCTCACCTCAAACCACCTCCCAATATTTGACTAAACATAAAATTTTTTTTTGAAGGACTTTGTGGCTGAACTGAGAATTTTTTCTACCCTCTTTTAAAGAAATAAGCAAGGAAATGAAAGCTATTAAAAAGATAATCAAAATTATTTAAACTATAGTAAAAAAAAAAAAAAAAAAGAATTTATCATCAAATCTGTGACATTCAAAGCAAAATGATCAATGATTATATCAGTAACCAAAGTGAACATCTTGAAAGTATTGTTAACCAAGATATCAAAAGGCTCTCACCTTGAATAGGTTCTTCAAGGCTACTTCTGTAATTAATGAAAAAAAAAAACATTTCCTTTAATTATATCGACAAGATAATTTAAAAAGTATAAAATTACTGAATCAAATACTTCTATTTTCCTTAAAAAATGAAATGAAAAGTTTATCAAAATATTTTAACAAGATATTAAATACAATAAAGTTGCATGAACTTTGATATTTTCAATATGAAAAAAAAATCCAATTATATTAGGTTTTTTTTTTTTAATAATGTCCAATTTTAGAATCAACTTTTATTCCTGAATTAATGTATTAAAACAGTGTTTAAATCAGTCAAAATAAGAACCCTGAACATCTATACATTTCTGCCACTGAGTTACAAGGTTATTTAAGCCTTTACAACAAAAATGTAAAAGTTTGGATGTAAATAAATCATTGAATGCAGTTTCTGAATCTTCTTTACAATGGGATGTCTTTTGACTGAAAAAATGATCAAGACGTTTGAAAAAAGTAGTAGTAGTCAGTGGGTGAGAGATTAAGGGAATATGGCAGATGTGGTAAAGTTTTGTATCTCAAGTCGGTGAGCTTCTGCAGTGTTATCCTGGCAATATGTGGCTGAGCATTGTCATGAAGTAGAATTGGACGATGTCGATTAACCATTACTGGTCACATTTTGTTTAACTGAATGAGCATTTCATCCAGTTGCTGGCAATAAACTTTGGCAGTGACGCTCTAGTTGGATTCCAGAAAGTTGTAATCTGATAACATCAATGGTAAACAACCATAATCTTTTGTTGGTGCAAATTTGGTTTTAGAAGGTGTTTGGGTAATTCATCATGATTAAACCATTAAGCTGATCATTTACAGTTGTAATAAAGGATCCATTTCTAATCACAAGTCACTAATCAATCAAGAAATGAATCATTTGAATTTTGCAGATGCAGCATTAAACACACTTCAAAATATCAAATTCTTTGATGTTCACAGGGTTCATAAGGAACCCATTTATCGAGTTTCTTCACCTCGTCAATTTGCTTGGAATGGTCCGATATTGTTGAAATGCTGACACCCATTATCCAAGACATTTCTGACACTTTGATGTGAGTTTTGTTTGACTAGTATGGATAGACCTTCTCTACCACTTGATCTTCAAGACTTGTATTCCCACTGTAGAATTTCAGAAACCAGTACTGTACTATCCAATCACAAGTAGATCCTTCACCCCATGCTATGTTAATGTTGACAGCAGTTTGAGACACATTATAACCAAGCTTGAACACATGCAAAAAATTTCAAATTATATACCCTCATCTTGACCATGAAATGGTCAAGATGAGGGGTATATAATGTTTTAAATTAAGTTTTGAAAGAGATATAAAATTATTTTAATCATTATTAACATATTTTTGCGCAACTATTATAATATATTAGAACACAAATGGTTTATTCTAAAATTGGACATTATTTTCTAGACAATCTAACATATAGTGTAGTATATGATTCAAGCCATGAAATAACAGATGGCATGAATTAAATCTAATGTTTATAAAGAACTTTTTGTTCTAAAAGAAGTTGATCTGTGGTGACCCCCCAATATGTACTGGCATCACCCCAAATGTAACCAATAGACTTTGTACTCAGTGTTAAACCAGAACATCAGTTTATGGATACAGAAGGTGATTATCTCCTTTTGGTGGAGATAAGTCACATGGATCACGTGATGGCTGCTTAGTGATGACACTTCATACAGTGAGGAGAGGCCAGTCATTCAGTTGGGATACAGCAGCCAAATTGAACTTTTTTTTTTTTTAGCCTGAGCCAAGGTGCGTGGGCTGAGGCTAAATCTGCCTCCTCCAGCAAATGCTACAGCATACGAGCACATGGCACCATTTCCCTTTGGGAATATATCTTTCCCAGATATAGAAAGCAACTCCGGCTCATAGTTCTCAATTTGGGAAAACCCATAACTCACGATTTCCCCTTTGTGCAATATGTCTTCATCTGACCCGTTTCAATCTGGAGTCCTAAACATGGCTTCTCCAGAAGCAGAAGAGTCTCCATATTATATGTAAGACCCATACTTTTTGTTTCTTCTTACACTCTGCTTGTTGTGTAGATATATGATATATTGTTCTCTGCAGGGAAACGTTTATATATGTATATATAGTTTTGTGTAGGTCTTAGTGGTATAAAGGACTCCCTGAGAACAAAGCATGTTTGTCATTCCTTTCCCTTTCAGTCATTCCATTCTTCCCATGAAATACGGTATTATATCATGGATATAAAAATGCCATAATGTGGGGAGGAATACAAATGAGAGAATAAATCTTTCTAACATAGCTCTCTCCTGTTATAAGAGAAATTAAATACATTGACAGGTTGACCTGAAAGGTAATCTCATAGCCACCAGGTGCATATTAGTGCCTTCATTGAAAGTCACCGTTTTATTTTTAGTACTGTTCAATTATTGCTTGCCTGTTTCCTATGGGACAATAGCCCAGTGGACTAAGGTGTTGATTCATTAATTTGGTGACATAGTAATAGTGAGTGCAGTTTGGACTTAGACAAAGTGTAAAATAAAAACTAGACAATATCCCTAGATATAGGCAGTGGAATGAGAACAGTTTACTCCCATAGATTAAATAAAGGGTTCAGTTCAGAATTCCTTCTAGGTTACCTAGATTGATATACATCTAATGAAGGCCAGGGAGCACAATGGCTGAAATGTTGAGATAACAACAATTAAGATGGAGACAATAGTCTGAATATCAACAGTGTAAATAATGACATTTAACTTTGTGTTTTTATTAGTGTGTACAACAATAACATTACAAAAGTAATCATTCTTGTAACTGTTATGCTTAATGTAAAATTCTCAGTTGATAAAAATGTTAATATCAAATTCAAAACTGTGATTTTTTTAATACCTCTGAATTCCATCCTTTAACTTATCGGGTCGTTGATGCTTAGATACAGCTTTCTTTTGCTGGAGTTTCTTCATCAAATCACTTTGTAATTCTGTCACTTGTCTGTTGAGACCCTGTATAAAACAAAATGTATATATACATATATATATTTATTTACATATATTACTTTTATATTTACATACAAAAAAATTTGGGTTTGTTGTTTTTGTTTATCAACCCCTATGGGTTATTTAATGCTAAAATTTAAATATTTTGTATGCAATTTTATAGCTTCAACTGCATAATTTTTTACTTCCAGAGTAAATGTGTTAATATATATATATATATTTATAGGTAACTCCATGAAATTGCTAAAAGATCAGCATACCATGATGAAAGCATGCTCCAAATGTAAGGAAAACAGTTTTATCATCAAAATCTGCTATTATTAAGAGGAAAAATTTTTGAGTATTTCATTAAATTTTTGACTCCATTTTAGAACATTCAAAATTTTGATTGAAAACCTTGTTTTTCTTGTGTCAGTGGATGTACTATATTTTAGCATAGAAAATTTTAGTGCCTTTTTTACAGTGAATGACACATTAATTTGGAAATTCTTGCAAAAATCAATTGTCAGATTTTAATGAAATTTTTAGGACTTATTCACAAATAAATTATTATAGAGAAATTTTTATGAGAAAATCTTGGTAAAAATATTCTTTTTTTAACATGTGTTTTACCGCCTTACTTAATTTTCTGAAAACTGCAGAAGTGCAATGTGATAATTTTTAGTGACTATATTTGTTAAAAGCAGAATTCTTAGGAGAAATTGAATCACTGAATTTTTTTTGCAAAATTGACCCTGCCTTACTGAAAATCTGTGCTGAATCAAAAGTAAAACACACAATAAAACTAAGACAATAATTAATTGGAGAAGCTTTTAACTGCTTTCATGAATAATATATATTAAGGAGAGTATTGCCTTAAGAAAAAAATTTTTTTGATGAAAATTTAATTTTTTACAAGATTTGTTCTCATTTTTTAAAAATTTTTAATTAGAATTTATATTTTTAAATCTTTTAAAATTCAGTTTCAATGGTGTAACTTTTAGGAAAGATTGTTATTAAGTAAAACTATATTTACTAATCATATATCATAAAGCTTATTAGAATATGACACACCCAAATATTTTAAAAAGAATTTTGAATTGTTTTTGTATGTGTAAAAACATGCTGAATTTTATAGATACAGTTGCCCACATGTGACATCATCAGAAAATAAGAGCAGCACCTATAGTAAATTTAGAGCCAAAATTCTTTAAAATTCAATATAACATTAGATTACGGAGAATATTTTCTTAAATTTTTAAGATTACCGAGTACTTAAAAGATGTTCGTGTTATATTCCTCAATTATTTTTTTATGGTTAAAGTCCCTGTAGAACTTATATAACGCTCTATCCATCATCAGCTGTCACAGAGGTGTTAAGAACTTATCAATATAAATAAAGAAGCTACTGTCAAGTTGAAGAATGACTTTCTTTGATATTTTAATAAAACAAAAAAAAAATTTTTTTAAATAGTTGTTTCAAATTAGAGTAATTATACTTTAAAAATCAACTATTCTTCAAAGAAAGTTTCAGAAAAGTATATTTTATTTTTGGAAGAATTTTTAATAAAGGGCTTTACATTTTTATAATACTTAAAATGGTGATAAAACAAAAAATTTCTTCCAATCAATTTAAATTAGTTTTGAAATACAGCATAGTATTTTGTTTATTGGAAATTTAAACTTAATCTCTCAGCTTGAAATTAGAACTAAAATATAAGCTTCAAGATATTTCATTAATAAAAATTAATTTTAAATGTTAGGTATTGTGTTTTGTGGAGGATCCTAGATATATTGTTTGTAGATGATCTATTGTAGGTGTCATTTGTTTTGCTACTTCTTTAAGGTAGGGCATTATGTTGTTAGTTTCAGTATTTTCAAATAGTTTTCTCGTGTTAGTTTCTTTGTAGTACTTATCTTGCTAATTGAGTACATTCAATTAAAATGTGTTTCGCCATGAGTACAGCTCGGTATCTTGTACAAGTTTGCTGATCTTCATTCTTCAGCAAGTATCCATATAAAAAAGACATTAAGAATCTACAAATACGGTCTAAAAAGTTTTTGACCCAGCCAAAATTGGATACTGATGTTTGAATTTTTTAGTCAAATGACATTGAGCAGCTTGGGCCATGAATCTTTCAGTGTCTTCATGCATCATGTCATATCTGTTTAAATCAATAGCAAGTAGGAAAATCAAATTTAACGTGTTTCGGTATTTATTTAGCTTCATCAGAATTTTTGGGAAATGGGACAATGTGGAGCAATGTTTCAATTTTTAAAATCTATATTGTTTGGTTTTTATTGGTTGTTTAGGTGTCACATGTTTCTCTTACAAAGTTAGTATTCATGCTTAATTCTTGAAGTGTTAAAGTACTTTAAGTGTGTATTAAAAATGTGTTTAATAGTATATAGCAATTGTATGACAGATATCGTAAATGCTGGATACTCGGAAAACATTGTCTGCAAATAGCTTGATCTTACACTTTTAAGTATAGGTTTTACAAATATTGATGATATGGAAAAATAGCATTTGATGAGTATTTGTTGCACATTGATTATTTATTAATATTTTTTCAGAGCTATTTTGCATAAAACTCTATAGTTATAGTTTTGACAATCACAAAAATATGTTTGGCTTTCTCATGCTATTTGATCCCTAAAGGGCTGTGGTTCAAACATTTTTCATCAGGGTCTGGGTAGAAGTTTCAAACATTATTTAAAATCATTATAAAAAACTGTTCACAAAAATTCATAACTTTTTTTCTAGAAATGTTCATCTTTATTCTGAAAGTGCCAAATATAAGAATTAATAAATAATTTGCATTTATCTGGACTCATAACCACCCCTGTCTCCAAACCAAATGTCTTAAAAATATCTCCCAGGTTATATAAGCAAAGTTGAGATATCATGTTTACTTAGACTACCAGGGTTTATATTTGGCTTAAATCCATATTTTCACAATCCATCCCAAGTTTTTTTTTTTTAAATGCCATATCTCATAAGGATATAAGTGGTCAAGGCTCTTTTTACTTATCTTTATTATCTGTGAATTACCATGAATTCTGGAGAAATATACAGAGTTGGTTTCCTGCTGCCTGTTTTTGAATTCAGGGTTATCGTTCCACAAAAGCAGAATTTCTCAACCTATACACCTTGAAAGGTAGCCATTTGTGGATCAAGTTAACCAAAGAGTAATTTATGAATTATTTTTATATTTAAAAATTCTTTATTTTTAAAAACTTGAGATACCAAATACATGGCTTCAATGTCTAAGTCTTTGTCATTTAATATTTTAATCAGGATGCTAAATTCCTTAATCTTTAAGAAGGAGTGGATAATCTTTTTCCTTTTTTAATCATTTCACCCCAAACAAGGTGGTAATACCACTAGTACAAAGAGGGTTACAGAGAGTGAAAGTGAAAGAGAAGACAGAGAATAGGGAAGATAAAGGAAAGGACAAAAGATGAACAGGGTTCAAGAAGATGGCAATTGATATTGAATTTAAATTTTTGAAGTTAATAGTTATCAGAGAAGCATAGATAAGAAAGAGTTCCACAGGTGGGAAGTGCGAGGAAAGAAACTGTTGGAGAAGTGGCAGTTGCATTTTGCTATTTGAACAGTAAAAGGATGGGACCTAGATACCAATCTAGTAGTGCACTTCAGGTAAAAAAAAAAAAAAAAAAAAGCTTGTCAGAGCAATTGCCATTAAGATATTTGTAGAAAAGACAGGTTTGCCTTCCTCAAGAGATTTAAATCAGACATTATCAGCCTCTTTAAAAAAAAAATTAGAGGATTATTCATAAATCTCTTTAAATGAAAACTATACTGCTAATCCTCTTTGGGAATGCTAAACCAAAAAATGGTAACTATTAAAAGGTAATTTTCTTCTTAAGCCTACTATATGACAGTCCAAGACTTCAAGGAAATTCCTGACTGATGTTTCCTTATTAAGTGTGCCTTAGATTGTTAGCTATTCTATGTGCATCCTGAAGTAAAGGTTGAGAAATACTGCTCTAGAGAGCCCAATTTACTTTACTATTTAACTCATAGCTGGGAGAAGGGATGGTTTCATACCTCTCCCAAGGGCATTAGCAAGAAAGAATTTGTTGAAAGATTAAATATTCTGTTTGTACTTACATTAAGTTCTACTGTTGCATTTTCAATGTCCAAAATGTTGGAGAAGTGACAGTTGCATTTTGCTACTTTAACAGTAACAGGGTGGGACCTAGATGCCAATCTAGTAGCACTTTTAAATTCATGTATTTGGGACTCCAGGAAAAAAAGGTTGTCAGAGCAATTGCCGTTAAAATAGTTGTAGAGAAAACAGAGGCTTACCTTCCGCAAGAGATTTAAATCAGTCATTATCAACCTTTTTTAAAAAAAATTAGCAGATTATTCATAAATCCCTTTAAATGAAAACATTACCGCTAATCCTCTTTGGGAATAAAAACCAGAAATGGCAACCATTCAATGTAATTTTCTTCTTAAGCCTCCTATAGTGGATGACAGATCAAGACTTTAAGGAAATTCATGACGGATTTTTCATTATTAAGTGTGCCTTAGAGTTTTATTATTCTACAAGTACTTCCTGAAGTAAAAAAATGTTGAGAAACACTGCTCTTGAGTGACTACCACCCAAGGCTAGAGAGCCCAATCTACCTTACTATTTAATTCATAGCTAGGAGAAGAAGGGATGGCTTCATACCTCTCCCTAAGGCAATAGTCAGAAAGAATTTGCTGAAAGATTAAATAATCAGTTTTGTACTTACATTAAGTTCTGCTGTTGCATTTTCAATGTCCAAAAGTTTCAGTTTAGCTTCTTTTTCCATTTCATCTAATTCTCGTTTCAGTTTTTCAATTGCATTCTTTTTCATTTCAACTCCATGCGACAAAGTCCGGTGCATCGCAGCTAGAATAAATTAGAATTTATATACATGATGTAAACATAACCATCTTGAATACCAGATACTATGTCTGTGACTTTTACAAAAATAAAAATAATCATCACTGACATTACATTTTAATTTTTAAAGATCAAAGTTGAATGAAAAGCAAGAAGCTGGAAGAGAGTTCCACAAGTGAGAAGTGTGAGAGAAGAAACTGTAAGCATAGAACTTATGGTTACATTTTGCCATTTCAACTGTAAAATGATGAAACTTAGCTGCCAATCTAGTTCTGTGCTTAAATTCGTGAAGTCAAAGTGCAAAAGAGGAGAGCTCATGAGAACAATTACCATGAAAATATTTATAGAAACAGTACAAGGAAGCTGTGTTACAGCAGTAAAAAAAGTGACTGAAGCCAAAATGCCAGGCCAGGACCAATAACATTGCAGATTCTTCTTTAAATTATTATATGTATATGAAAATATATCAGGTGTAACAGCAAAACTGTCCAATTGTTAGATTAAGCTTTGAATTGTTGTATCTTAGAAATGATTAAAGATATCTTACTGGATTTCTCTGAGGTTTTTATAACACTATTGGACTCTACTTTGAGAAATAAGAATGTATAATTACTCTCCAAGCTTAACAGAAGAATCATGACGAAATTGATCATAAATGAAAATGACATGTTCATCATTAATTAATCATAGCTAAGGATCAGGAGCTCATGAAGGATTGATATAAAATTCAAATATATATATATATATATATATATATATATATATATATATATATATATATATATTATTCAGGATCATTTTCCCACTTATTCAAGATGATCTTCACCCTTTAAACTTCTAACAATTCTGTCCTGGAGTAACAAGGTGCCTCAGAGGTTTCATGTACAATATCATTTTCAGTTTTTTTTCACTGCTCTTTGGATTGTCATAGGTAAAACTCCTCTCTCATGTGCAAGACGTCTTATGGATTAAGTTGGTTCTTTTCTAATTGATCTCTTTAGCTCTTAGTTGAAATGATGACCCCAATTTCTGTTGAGAGAGCTCCTGATCCAATTTTTCTCTCTACTGTTCTTTTTTTTTTAAACTTATTCTCCATTCTCTTGATGGTTCAGGAATGGACTTTGAAAATGGAACCATCACTAAAGGCCTGAATGATCTTTTTCCTCTCACCATTGCTCAGTTGGTAAGACATGGTATGGCTGATACAAAACGATTTTAACCTGTTCTCTTTCTAGCTGAATAACTCAAATGGTTTTTCAGTGATTCTTTCAGCAAAGGGTGTCAAAATGGCTGAACATCTTATCTGAAAACCTGGAAAAACAACTCAATTACTTTTAGTGTTTTTTTAGATATTAAACATTTTGTGGGATGGACAATTATACTGTTACACGATTTGGACAATTTTGCTGTTACGCCTGGTAGGTATGCTGTAATAAAAAAGAATAAAATTAAACAAAAGGTTATAATCAGAAACTTACAAGCTGGAGTAGATCCAGCAGTTTCAACTTTGAGATTGAGCTGCTCTTTCTGTTGTTGTAATAACAAATATTTCTGGCTGAGATCCTAGAAAAAATTCAAAAAACAACTCTAAGTTTCAAACATTTAAAGAAGCAAGATTTAAAAACCAAAATCAAACAAACACAAGTTTTGGATGATTTGTATAAAGTTAATGTTTTTATTGATCGAATTATGTGTGTTGGAAGGGGAGATATAAATGTAAGCATTGGTTTGAAAGGAAATGCTGAAGGTGCAGAAACATTGCATTTCAAATTTTTACATAAATGGTAACAGTAATATTAACAGTTTTTGTAGAAGGAAACATTTGGCATTTATTGACCAAGCTGCTTTCGGTACAAATTTATAAAATCTTTCTTGTAAAACAATTTTTCAGAAAAACAGATTTCTCAAGTCCAGTAGCTCTTCTCACTCTTTCTAGTAGTGTGGAATGTCACTATCTAGATTATAACATTATTTTGTTTTTGTGTTACAGGTAATATTCATTTTAGCTGTTGCTGCTGCTGAAAGTCTTCAAGTGATGTCGTTTCTGTTATTTGGTACAGTTCTTTGTTTGTGATTCTGTGGTGCCAGTTTATAAGGATTTTATAAGGCTTCACTTGCTCAAGTTTGATGAGGTCCTTCTAAAGGACAGAACTTTTACAGAATAGTTGACTTCGTCATTCAATTGACTGGTGGAAAAAATAGCCATAACTACCTTCTCAGAATAAAACAAACCACTAAATAAATGATTGGAACTCATCTCAAAATGCAGACACCAAAACAAATTTTTACTATGCAATTTAAAATTGAAAACTGAAAATGAACAAGAATAAATGAAAATAAAATAAAATGAATAAACAAAACAAATAGAATAAATTAATCCAAACAAATAAATAAACTAAGTGAATAATAAACAAATTAACAAAGCACGCCCACCAAAATAACTGCTAATGCAATAGACTAGCCACAATTCATCACCGACATATATATATAAATTTTATTATATTTTTTATTATAATAGATTTTTAAAAAAAAAAAGTAAATGCTATGAACTGTGGATTTTTACTCTGTTCTTTTTAGAGAGAGAGAGTCAAGCAAAAACACAGCGCATATGGCCTGACAACTGCATTTACCATGAACTAGATGTCACATCTGGGGATTGATTTCAACGTCCACTTTTTATATATATATATATATAAAATTTCAGATATAAGTAAAATACATCTGTAAAAAGACAATATGAATAAAGACCAAAGGAAAACTTATCTTAGCCAAAATGTTTTGCCCTCTGATGGAATTTATAAGATAAATGTAAGGATTTTATTTTGCAGCAAGAATTTATAAACAAAAGTAAAAATTAAAAGGGACACATCAATCTAACTGAAGAGTCTAGGTAAATTATGGAGGATGCTAAGTGATATAATTTAATGTTTAATAACTGGAAGTGAGTAAATGATGTTGATTTTTTTTAATGCATTTAATATTTAAATTATTTTATTTTGAGATAAATTTATGTATCCTATATTTTAAATAATAGAAGGTTATGAATTTAATCATTTTCTTTAAATTTTTTTAACATTTTTATAGTCATGTATGCTGGCTTGGAAAAGGAGTAATTCTTTCAGGAATGGAAATATTTGAAAAAATCCAGGATGCAGATTTATATTTTGATAAGATTTGATAGTGACACTCAAGAATTTTTTTTGTCTAAATTACTTTCTTTTTTAATAAGTGTTGCATTCTTTAGATTGAAGTTGGGGTTGAATTTATTTCTAGGTATAACTAATGCATTTGATAAATTGATCCTTTTTGTATTCATATTTTTTTCATGCTTTTTTAAATTTCAACAAGTTTCTCCAATGTATTGTGAAGAGCAGTTTTGACAGTTTATTTTATATATACCTGTTTCAGAATTATTACTGTTATGGGTATTTTAGGTTCTGATCATATCTATAATAGTTTAGGATATAGTTGATTTGGTCTCTTTCTCTCTCTCTCTCATATATATATATATATATATATATATATATATATATATATGTATAATTAAAATGAAACATTTGCAAATAGCATCTTTTAGTATCTTCATTCAGCAGCCTACAAGAGAGACACAGATTAGAGTTGAAATATATTTTCAAAATAAAATCAAACATTGAAAGATTAAACAGAGATTTGGGTTTACTCGGAGAATATAATTTCCACAGGAAGCACTCTAACAAACAACAACAACATTTCTTGGAAGAGTAAGTCCCACTTCTTTGTTTATTACTCATCTCATTGAAAAAGGGCAAAGGCATATTCTGAAAATTTCTGACTTTAAAATCTTTTGCTTTGTGCTTCAATTTAGTCAATAGGTTAATACATAATAAATATCATTAATGTCTTACCATACATTATATATATATATATATATATATATATAATGTATCAGGTAAAATGAGAACAAATGAAGTATAATTCCACTGTACATAACAATTTAAAAGAGGGCTCAATACAGAGTAGTTAAATTTTATTTATTTTAGTATATTAAAACATGTTAAAAATTGCTACATAATGGTAATTTTTTTTCAAAACCAACCACAAGCCTATTTTTTAAAGTATTCTGCCTTTGAAATTAATCTTTCACTTGCCAGTAGTTTAACATTGTCCGAGGAGACACATTTATGGTGATGAAACATAATTGCCATTATCTATTGATATTTAACATGTTTTGATATCCTAAAATAAATAATATTATATATATATATATATATATATATATATTACAAATTGGGATCAATATGGATAAGAATCCGACAGAGTGAAAGGAAAAGGAACAAATAAGAAACTTTTATCCTATCACATATATATATGTGTGTGTTGTGTGTGTGAATAAATAAATAAAATATAAAGAACAAATAAACATCTTTCTTGGCTTTATCTGCAATATTAATGTATATGGTAGTCTAATACTTATTTCTATACCATAGACTACCAAAACTTAAGCTTACTCTGTAATGCTAAAGGTAAATTAATTGTATGTCTTCTATGACATCAAATACAATAATGCCTCTCAAAAATTAATTTCTTTGAAATTTAGACAAATATACAAGTAAAAAAAATAGAAAATTCCATTAAATAGATTATATTTTTTCCTGGAGAAAAAATAATCCCGTTCATGATGTATTTGGTTATTTTATGTTTTCTGCTTAGAGAGAAATAGTTGCTGCAATATGACTTTGAATGATTGAGTACCAAAAGAAAAGGAAGGTCTCACATTATATAATGAAGAAAAGAGACAAAATATGTAGAAGCAAAACAAATGGTTCATACTCACTTGTAATTGTAACTGAAATCTCTCAATATCTGCCAATTTTAAATCCCGAGACTGTCGCATTCTTTCAATGCTTGTAGTAAAATCTGCAACTCCATTGCGCACCTGGGTAATTTTTTGGGCCAATTCAATTTTTTTCCCTTCCTAGAAAAAAAAAAAACAAAACAAAACAAATGTCATCATTATCTACAAAGTGCTCAATAAAACCAAAATAAAAAGAAATGAATAATTTAGAATCTTACCAAAGCTTCTAGTTCACACTTTAAGTTGGTACTTTGTGATTTTAGTGTCTCCAGCTGCTCGTATTCACGGTGCTTCTCAGACAAGAGGTGTTCTTTACGTTGCCGCTCCCATTCCATTTGTCGCTGCCGTTCCAATTCTCGCCTGGCAGCCTAGACAGCAGAAGCAAAATTAATTTTGCATAACAGGAAATGAAGAAATGATTGTAGCAATCTAATCAAAGAGATTCCAGTTTATCTAGCATGTGAAAAAAGGTGTTAATTACCAAAAAAAAACAAAACAAAAAAACAAAAAAAAAAAAAACAAATTTAATAAACTACATTAAAGAAATATAAATAAAAGATTATTTTAAGAATGTTCATAAGGAAAAAATAAAGAAATAATAAAAATGATATTTGGTTTCAGTAATGAATAAGAATTGCCACAAATATTCTGTGTAGTTTGGTAATGTGCCAATTCTGTTAGAATACAAACTGCTTGCTATCAAGATGTTTTCAAACACAAGTTGAACAGATATAGGAATCCCAAGTAGTTTGGGTGGCAAGCTCTAGCAAGATGAGGCAGCCATAAGTGCAAAGTATGATGAGATATGAACAAGTGGGAGGTGAAGAGAGTGCAAAGCATAATACTTGCATCATTATAACAGATGTGGTCGGCCATTGCAACAAGATCAGTCATTTGAAAATTGAGCTGGAAAGCAACAGGAGGAATACGGCTTTGCTTTTTCTTATACCTGTACTGACAGACAATTCTATCCTCTCTTCACTCAAAAGTTGGCCTCCAACGAAATTACAATCAATTTTTTAGATTCCTGTATTATTTTTCATTAACAAAACATCTTCGGATAAACTTTTTATTTAAATAAAACTAATTTATGAAGAATGACAATATATGACTTCAGTTCTGTATTTTTTTTAAGGGAAAGCTGGCCAAAAAATTCTGTCATCTGCTTGCTATGTCATGTATCAGTTTTGTTACCTCAAAAGAGTCTTTAACTATGGATTAAATGATCCAAACTTATTCACTCATCAGTAAGTGAAATAATTAAATTGAATTTATTAAAATTATCACATATTGCTTAAAATGAGTTCACTCATCAGGGGCTGAGATAGCTAAATTGTATTTATTAAAAGATATCACATATTGCTTAAAATGAGTTCACTCATCAGGGGCTGAGATAGCTAAATTGGATATCACATATTGAGATATCAGGGGCTGAGATAAATTGTATTTAAAAAGATATGTTGTTATTGCAAAAATGATTCATCATCATTTAAATTGTATAACAGATATTTTTAATATATATTTTTATAGTGTAAGCATTTTTTTTAGATAATAATGATACAAGACTTACTAATTAACCCATAATTGAGGGTACAAGAGGTGGATTCATACTTTTCCCCAAGGGTATTTGAATATAAGTGAATATAACAAACCCAACAGTATTGGAACTTGGCTCACCAATTAACAATACCGAGCCATTATTCATTACACCACATGCACATCGAAACTTACAACACCTGGTATTCCTTAAGTGGTCACCCATCTAGATATTGACGAGGCTTGATGTTGCTTAACTCCAGTAATTGAATGAGAACAGGTGTTTCAATATGATATGGCCATAATCAGTTAACCAGAAAAAAATTCCTCTTAGATTAATAATGAATAAAAAATAAAGAGATATGAATTCAAAAATATTTTTCAAACTAATTTTAAGGCAAAAGCAAATGTACTGTTAATTATAATATACTTTAGAAGTTTAATTTTATATTATCTTAAGAAATAAATTTTCAGACAAATATAGTACATGTCTTTAAAAGCTTTCTATAGAAAAAGGTGAAGACACTGAAAAAGATGAAAGAAATGTTCCAATATTCCACCTCTCTTTGTTCCATCATTTTTCTCCTTTGTTCTTCTCTTTCTCTCTCCATTTCACGCTGTTTTTCCAATTGTCGTTCTAATTCCATTTGTCGTTTACGTTCTTGTTCAAGCCTTGATAATTCAAAAGATGAAAGACAAATTCATAAAGCACACAGATAGTTCTTGAACAAGAATACAGACTTTTTGAAAGTCAACTTTTAAGTCTTGTCAAATATTTAGAAAATGAATTTTTACAAGCAAAGTATATTCATTGTAAGAAAGAAAACCTTAAAAAATGTATCATTATCATTTTAAAAATTTAGAGACCATATTTGTGAGAATACCACTGGCAAAAAATATTAAAGGCACTTTAAAATTCAAAATAAAATTCCATAGATATAGATGCCAATCCAAAAACATTTAGAGCATAATAAAAAGACACTATATCCCAGAACTTTGGATAATATTTAAAATTATTAAATATTTCACAAATCTTTAATAGCAAGAATTAAAAGAAAAAGCTTTGGGAAAAAAAATGTAATTTCTTTTTCAATTTCTTTTTCTTTTTAATTTAATAATTATTTTTAAAGAAAATATAAATATTTCTTTGCAAATATAAGTTTCAATTATTTGAAACCAGCTCATAAGTTAACTTGCCGGAAAGTTTCTTTTCTTTATACTCAGGCAGCTGACAAGATTTTTTAGGAGAGCTCAACAGGTCAGAATAGAAATGAATCACAAGACCAGCCACATTATTTGGTAGAACTGATAACAGAGAAATGGTGCACAATGTGTCATGAAGTCTCTAAGTAGTCCTCTCCAGGTTTGATACAATTTTTTCCTTCTCCTAGACTGGTTACCACCCAAGGCAAGAGAGTCCAGTCTGCTCAGTTATTTAACCAATAGCTGGAGGGAAATGGATTCATGCCTTTTCCAAGGGCTGTAGTGCAAAGTGAATGAAACAGAATCAATCTGAAGGTACACTCAGCTGATAATGATATTAATAGTATACAGGAGTCTTGAGAGTGGAGAAGACGTTTTATACATGCACAACACACACACACACAATTATTAGGCAGGAGGAGAAATCATAAGAATATCCTGGTAGTGGGAGTAAACTACCATGGTTGTCCTTCAGGCTCAAAGAAAACTATCAATGGATCTGGATGAATTTTAAAAACGGGCTTGTGTGGGAAGAATTTTAAGTAGGAAAGTCATGACTCTGGCTTAATCCCACTCTCTCAACCTGGGGAGTCTTGATCCGGTGGTATGAGGAATTGGTACAGTCAGAGACTTAAAGTACTGCTATGTATCACATCCATGCTTTGATGCACTCCCTGGCATTTGCTGACACTGCTTTCATGGCTCTTTGATCTGTACGAAATCTAATACACCCATTCTGCTGAGAATCAGTCTTCACATTCAATAGGGCTGACAGACCTGAAATTATCAAGGGTTTGGACCCATCAACCACCCTCAACTGGTTTGCCCACCAGAAAACTAATCAGATACTAATGGCTGGTTCATATGTTTATCACACTTTTCTGTGTTTAAAAATAAAATCTTTATGATATTAAACAAGGAAAAAACAATCCTGCAAATATATATATATATATATATATATAAAAAAGTAAAACAAAAATCACTGACCGTTGCTGCTCTCTCTTTTCATGTTCTTTTCTTTCTTTCTCTAAACGTTGTTCTTCCTCGCGTTTCAACTGTTCTTGTAATATTGCACGACGCCTTTCCAATTCTGCTTGGCCCTTTTCAAAGTTCTCTTTTCTTCGATCTTCAAATGTCACTATCAAAATCAAAAGATTACAAAAACCACTTATCATAAAGTTTCAAACAATACAGGAAAACAAAAAAGAAATAAAAAGAGACTAAATATATTTACCTAATTCTTCCAATTTTCCTTCTCCATTGGCTGATGGTGGAGGTGACTGAGTCATTCCCATGTGACCAAGTAAATCACTAAATGCATCTTTCTGAGGACCTGTAAAGACAGGGACAGAAAAAAAAAAAGTTCATTTCTTTTATGAAAAACTAGGAGTATGGCCCGGCGTTATTATTATAGAAAGTCGCTAATTAACAAACCAGCGTTGAATGAAGACAGAAAAATATATTTAAAATATTAGGGCTAAACACTTCCACATATATTGGCTTTGGTAGATTAAATAGGAAGGAGACATATATAACATGACTAGCAGCATGGCCCGGTGTTGCCCGTGCTTGATTCAAAAATCGTACGACTCATACAGCAATCGCTATCACTTGACTTAAAATATTTTTGCCCTTCCTTGCCTTTAAAGGAATGCCCTTTGCCGTGCTGATGTTGCTACATGACTTACTTCTTGCCTATCTCACACTGCGAATTTTTTCTAAGCTCTATACTAAACATTAAATCTGTTACAAAAAAAGAACTAAACAAAATGAACACAAAACAATCAGCTTTAAAAAAGGACTTGTAAGTGGAAAAACCGAATGAAAAAAGAATGTTAACAACAAATACTTTTTCACACCCAACCCAGTTCTGCGGAATCAGAATCAACGTTGAGTTTAAGCAAGCGAATGAACCAATTGGAGTAAAGTGCCATGCAGATTTAAATTTTTCCCACTTGTGATGAATGCAGCTATCAAATTTTTGCATGCTAGCATGCTAGTTAACATTCATGTCAGTCAGCTGTTGGCTCACACGCTGGCCAATAGAATCTTCCTGCCTATTCGTGGCAGCCAGCTATTGGCTCTCACTCTGACTAGTACAAAATGGCTGCAAACTACATGAAAACTGGCGTAGAAGCATGAAAAAATCGATTATTTCCACTATCGATGGGAGTTGGGAAATGCAAATTTGGTCTTGGCCTTCCCGCTAACTTGGAGCATGTGCATGTAAATTTTGGTGCAAATCCATCGAAAATTGCGGCCATGCATTCATTACACACACACAGACATCCTGCCTTTTATAGATAGAGATGCAGAATATGATTTATATCTTCCAATTAATTATATTATTGCAGAGTAATTAAAGCATATGAACTTATTTTCTATATTTGTTTGATTTGTTTCCTATTTATCAACTCTTTGCAGGTTATTTGAAGCTAGAAAATATGTTAAGATTGCAAGAATTTTTTTTGAGATAATAATGGTTTAGTGATACAAGTCTTACTAATTAATTAACCCATAGCTGTAGGGAGAAGAGGTGGATTCATACTTTTCCCAAAGTTATTTGCATCTAAGTAAATATAATGAACACAATAGGAATTGGAATTCAGCTCTCTGAGTAACAATTCTGAGCCATTATGTATTATACCACCAGCATATCCAAGCTTACAGAACCTGGTATTCCCAAAGTCACCCAACTAGTTACTGACCAGGCTCAATGTTGCTTAACTTCGGTGATCATACAGGAACCAGTATTATGTGATATGGTTGCTGGCCTTTCTATATTTGAATCAACATTTTTACCAATAACACCATTTAGAAACATTATTTTAATGAAGATATCGCCCCTGTGCAAAATAATTTTTTGGATTTGAGGTTTAACTATATTTGAAGTAATGAATGGGCTTCTGGCCATATCATGTTGAAACACTGGTGCTGGTTTGATCACCAATGTTAAGCAATGTCAAGCCTAGATGGGTGACCACTTGAGAATATCAACTGCTGTAAGCTTGAATGTGTGGGTGGTGTAAGAGATAACAGCTTGGAATGAAAAATCGGAGAACTGAGTTCAAATTCAATTTGGGTTCATTACATTCACGTATGTGCAAATATGCTTGGGCTATCATGAATCATAAAGAGACCTAGTGTATCACATCTGCCCCAACCAACATGCATAGGGCCTACAGGGTAGAATAATGACTCACTCCTCCCTATGGTCTGGGGAGGGCCTATGTCCAGCAAATCACATTCATAGGCTGAGAAGAAGTAATGAATTATTATATTCTATTTTCTACATATAGGAGGGGGTGCCAAAAAGTTCTGAGATCTGCCTCCTTCTAAAAATCTGACAAAATAAAAAGAATTAGTGGTGGTATGGGGGGCAGCTTCTTGGTCAGGTCAAGAACTTTTCAGCACCCTTTTGTAAATCTGTCTGTAATATAAATTGACAGAAGTTAAACATGAAAAATAAATGAATATTTACTAAGCTTAGCATAAATCCTATTGTCTATAAAAAAGGTGGCAATTCATTCCTTTACCTGTGTACAGGAAATAAGATTAAACATGAAATCACTGACTGACATTCCAATCTATAGAATCTCATACTTTGCGAGCGAGAACAAAAATGTATCAAAAGTTAGAAAAGATTTCTTTGAATGATACTTGACACTGAATTTCAAAACAATTACACTGACCAATACAAGCCAAGTTATACTTTTTTTTAAACTAATTTTGGAATGGTAAAACCAGAAATTAAATCTATTTTTACTGGTTAGCTCCACATTTTGATGTACAAAACCTGAGTATTTAAAAAAAAAAAAAAGAAAAAAAAAAAGACTATTTATAGCCCACTTTCCCATAATATTCAAATTAATTCTGAATTCCTCCTGCAAATAAAAATGATTATTATTGAATTCCTGACGGCTCAAACACTTGATTTTTATATCATGATAATAATGACAGTGTAATTGCATGGTTCAAAGTTATGAATGGAAACATTATAAAATCCTTGGGTATAATACATGATGAAATTTTTGCCATGACTACCAATTGCACTCAATATTTTAATTATTGTGTTATATTTCTTTCTTATTTCAAGTTTTTTTTTCTTCACATTTACAGTGTCCTAATCCAATCCTGACCATTTTTTGCAGGTAAGATATGGTATTTTTGATCAGGAAAATTAAAGCTAAAGGTGGAAAATGGAAGTTATTTTTGGATTCAGCACTCCAGAATTATTCAAAATTAACCAAAAGATCCCATGCAATCTTTTCAAAAACATATTTTGTTGGCCTGCATTATTTAATACTGTTAATATTTAGTAGCAGATATAATTATCAACAAAGAGAAAAGAAAAGTTAAATACCAGGGGTGCCAGGCTGGGAGCCACTGGGTCCTGACAGACTACTTGATCGACTCCCTCTGCTCATGTTACCAGGGTGTAAACTTGGGGGTAGTTTGTTTGGCAATGGTTGTCCAGTACGGGCTACTTCAATAAGATGCAAGGCAATACAAAATTCATCACAGGAAAGCTTTCCATCACTATCGACATCTGACAGATTCCTGTAAAAGCAAAGATAGTTTTAATAGTAAACAACTGATTTTTATTTGTGAAAAACGACTAAAGTATAGGTTACAAAAACTGAGGCGACCGAATAAATTTCTTAGAAAGTTTTGAAAAGTACTGAAAATTAATATTTACTGTTGGACTAATGTCATCTTTGTTGTTATCGTAATCTTTCAGCCATTGGGCACTCTCACATTTTCTTGGTTCTCTGTTGATATAGGTAAATTTTGGGGAATTTAAAATTGTATCCTTTTTTTATTTTTTTGGTGGTGGGGAGATTGTTTTCGTTCCATGTCTAGAGATACCTTTTAGTATTGCTCGGTATTGATAGTTTTGTTTCCACTGAGATTGAATCTGTACTACCTGGCCCAAGGATTGAACTCATAACAGACTCAAAAGAAATAGGATGAGCAATAACTAAGCAGTACTAAAAAAAAAAAAAATTTACAAGACAAGATATCCCTAGAAATGGACAGTGAGATAAAATCAGTCTATCCCTCTAGATTAAATAAAGGATACAGTTTGAAATTCGACAGAAGCTGAAGTAGGCAGGAGGTGACAATTGTGCTAATAATTCTTGCACTTCTCACTTGTGTACTCTCTCTTCTGGCTTCTTGCTTTCCAGTCAAGTTTGATTTTCAAAACTTTAAATGCAATATCATCTGTCTTCTTAATTCCTGTTCTTTTACTGAACATAGACTAGTTTCCTTTATTTTTTTGTAAATGTGTATTGTTTGTGTCAACAACAGCAGCAATAAGTAAACATACAATGAGAGATCATTAATGGCAAAAAATAATTCAGAGTTGGACCTACTCAAAATAGGAATGAACAGTGTCATAGTCACCTTAGCTTATGTTGGACTACAAGGCATTACATTTTTTACACTGTCAAATAAAAATTAAATAAAACATCAGTATGAAGCATAAACCTTTTAATTCCAAAACTAACATACAATTACACTCTTAATCCTTAATGTTTTCATTTTCTTATATTCGTTCACACTCAGTAACTCCTTGCATCTTAATGACTTTATTTGCCTTGCTTGGGGTGAAATGACAAAAAAATTATGTACTATCATCTTCATTACATGAAATATCGTCAGCCATTATTATTACTTTTAATTTGTATTTACTTTCATCTGACATTTTAGTCACTTTTTATCATAATTTTTACTGAATTTAAATTTAACTTTCTAATAACTCTACCACCCTAGACTTGAACAAGACAACCTGAACTTAAGCATATCACTCAGTGCTGAACATGGCTAGCACGGATGCCATTTCGGCGACTGAGGTGACACAGCCTTTATAACTATCTCCCGCTCCGAATTCTGCATTTATGCTCAGAAAAAGATGACATCTGTTCAACTGTAAACAATGTAAAGAATGATAACTCATGGTAGAAATTCAGAAATTACTGAAAATCAATTGTAAAATCAGTTCTGCTATTACAATGCATAAAAAATGCTATTATCCATGCATAAAAAATGCTGACACAAGAGAGCACTGAAAAGATCTGTACTCCACAAAGAAGCCCTTTAAAAAAAAAGAAAAAAAAAAAGAAAAAAGAAAATGAAAGAAAGAAAAGTCAGTTGTTTGGCCCGATTTCCAGAAGTCAGATAGACCAATAACTTTACCCCATTATATAATTATGGGCCAAAAATTCATATTCATATTCTGTCTGTTAATCTCTAAATTATTATGTTGCTTTTTACACAGGTAAAGTTCCAACATCTGTTAACTATTTTTTCTTACAATCTATAAATAAGCATTTACTTACCAAATCTGTGCAAGGACTGGCTGTGGTAACCCAGAATTAAGAAGTAATGGTCGAGCCTCAACTCCTACAAAGAACAAAATAAGAAAATATCAAATTTGGGGGAAAACAAATTATTGGTGATAATAGTACTAATAACAATTTTTATTTTTAAACATATCAGCAAAATGCAAAGCAATAATTACAGTCTGCAGAAATTTTGTTTTGGTAAGCGACCAAGTCTGTATAAATGGCCAATTCTCTTTGTTTTCTTCAGATCTGAATCATAAATTGATAAGCAAAGCCTTTCAAATTCTTTTCCCTTAAATTTTCCATTGGTTTCTTATTGATAAGAACTTAAATCTGAATCCATTTATTCTTTACATAAATTTTTAAAAAGAAAAACAACCAAAAGAACGAAAAAAAAAAACAATCAAAAGCTTACCAGCAATAAAACCTTGTTTATTCCGATCTTGGGTAGCGAACATCTGAATATATTTCTGTTTATTTTGAGGAGGAATAACCCAAGGAGAAGGTGCAGGACTGAAAAAAAAAAGATGGCAACATAAATTCTTTTGAGATAGCAACAGAGAAAGAAAAAAAAATTATGAATAAAGACAAAAAAAAAAGACTATTCTTTACCATCTTCTGATGGACTTTATCAAGGCAGGTTTAAGGATTTTATTTTGTAAAATAAGCAAGAGTAAAAATATTGTTAGGTTTTCAAAATTTTTAAATTTAAGAACACTTATAAATATTCTTCAGTCTAACTGTGAAAGTCAAGGTAAACTATGGAGGATGCTAAGTGATTGAATTTAATGCTTAATAAATGAAACTGGGTAAATTATAAAAAATCATCTATAGATATGTGATAGAAAGGAAAACATTTAATACTGTCTGATAATCCATGTGAATTCTCTTGAATATTTGTTTTATTCTGGATCAAATAAATCAAATCTGTTTTTCCTTGGTTAGTGTTATATTCTACAACAAACTTTTTCTTAAAACTAGTTTAAGGATGTAGAAGTTTTTCCAAAATTTTATTATAGCTTTAAAGAAGTTATATATTAACATAAAATATATGTAAATATATTAAAACAAGGAAAGAAAAAGCAAGAAAGACAAAATAAATTACTGTAAAGAGGAAATTGAAAAATTTTTAACAAAAAAAAAAAAAAAAGACACTAACAAAAAAGAAACTAACTGGTTATCATTCTTTGCTATTTTCAGTTCAAAACAAATTTATGCATTATATTTTCCCTCTGCACCCCAAATAATTCTTTACTAGGGAGGGGGAAAAATTATTACCAGAGAATCAGCACTGAATCACAAACAGATTATATTAAGATGCAGGAACCATTTCTTCTGCTTAGAGAGGGAAGCTTCCTTAAATTTATTATACATGATTTTAAGCACTTTCAAACAGTAACGTGAATGTGCTCTGCTGATGACTGAGAAAAAATATCTCTGGTGCAAGAGAAGGCACACATTAGATTACTTATTAGATGTTCTACAATCGCAGAACTGGATATATTGACAAGATTATATAAATTGTCATATTGCTTTCTACGGATCTAAGCCAGTACATGTAGAATAATTATTACTTTGAATCTCTGAATAGTTCAGCTTATATATTTAGTATCACACTGACATTTAACATTATAAACATGATGAGAGGTAGAATATCTTTGAGAATAGATTTCAACCTGTTTTGGGAAGTGAAAAGAAACTGTGAATTGGCAGAAAGAGATTTACAAGGCAAAAGTGTACTCCAGTGATTTCACTTTTAGGCCTATACAATCCAAAGAAAATAATTTAGCACTGAAAAAACTTAAATGAAATAATATCCCTTTTGTGACATGAACAACATCAAACAGGATGCACTAACTCCAAGAATTTTAAAAGCAAAGGAAAAAACATTTTAGAATCCAATTTTGTTTTATTAGATACTTTCAATGTAAAGAAAAACAGGTACCAACACAATAAGAATGAAACAATTTTACCTTTATTTACATTTAGAATAATATCCATATTTTTACTGTTATTATCACAACAATTTGACCATTGTGGCCTCTGGCCTTTTGCAGGCATCTATTGATCTGGGTAACCTTTAAGGTATTTCAAACAAAGACACTAGTTTCAAGGCACCAAGTTCTAGGTTTAGTATTGTCCCAGAACAAAAGAATAGAACAAGATATCCTCAGACAAGACACTCCTATAGATTAAATAAAGGGTTCCATTCAAAATTCCCTGAAGGTTTCATTGATCAACAGACACCTGAAGAAGGCTCGATGGAACAACAGTTGAAATGTGATAACAACAAAGTTGAAGACATTATTCCAAATTTAAAAATTCTAATAGAAATCTTACCTTTGATTCATAGAAAATGATCCTGACCTTACTTGACCATCAACTGGAGGTGACATGATGGGAGGTTGACCTAAGACAGGAGCAGGAGCTGCACCTATTGTAAATAACCACATATCACAAAAATAACAGCAAGGTGATCAGAAATTCCTTTGCTTTAGTTCAGGAACATAAACACTATAATTAACTCAAATTCAAAATCTATTATGCAGAGTTCCTATAAAGAACCTTTGATTCAATAATATGGATTAACCCTTTAGCATTCAACCTGCCCTGTAAATATTGGCTCTTAATGTTCAACTCACTGTAACCTGGCCCATGTATACTCTGCCATAATATATGACAGCATCATCGCAAATAATGCAGGAAGTCATGCAAAAGTGAGACTTTGACCACAAACAGTGACAGTCAATATTTACAGGGCAGCTTTACATGTGTTGAATGCTAAAGAGTTAAAGAACAAAAACAAGCTTTAATTCTTTCTTAATATATATATATATATATATATATATTTAAGCCACGAAGAACTTGGTAAACTGAATGGGTAATTCCAAGGAGGATGAAATCCTGAGAACTCAATGTGAATACAGAGCTAATATTTAATGAAAAACAGACCACTTTAAGGTACCATTACAATAATTTATTTCACCATATTATTATAATTATATTATTATTGTAATGGTACCTTAAAGTGGTCTGTTTTTTCATTATATATATATATATATATATATATATATATATGGATGTGGAAACTTCAACAAATTGATTCAAAGAAACTAATTTAGATCAGCATTTCATAAATTGCAAATCAGTATCTAAGCTGGAAACATTACAAGTTTTTATTGTGCTTAAAATTTAGGCAAGTTCCTAAGTATTATTTAAAAAAAAAAAAAAAAAGAAAGAAAAAGAGATTGGAAAAGAAAAACATCAAGTAATTTTCCTATTAATCAATCATTTAATCAAACAAAAATATGAACAGCATTTATCAGTTTAGTGTTAATAATAAAATTTGATTAACCTATTGTACCCAACTACAAACAATTTTTTTTAAAACAGTTAACATATAATCAAGACTGAATATAGGGGAGTATAGGCTGCTTTGTGAGTCCCACTAGCTCAGTTATAACACTGGTTATAAAAAAATCTTTTTACTTTTTATTTTTTTTTTATTTTTTTACTACGGTTGTGTTGAAAAATGTGCTAATTTGGTTTGCAATAAATAGTAAAATAGTGGTATTTCTTAAAGAATATTTTTATTGACAAACAAAAGATTCTAGTTTATTTAAAGAATAAGTTTATTTCAAGCTGAGTAAATGTCGCTAAAATATATCAGAAGTAAAAAATATTCAAGATGGGTCTGGGCAAGTTAGAAGGTGGTTCCATAATTTCATTAGCCTAGGAGCTCCAAAAGGTCATAATCTGGCCCTGTATATAATTTATTTTTGTTGAGCTGTTTCTGTGAAAATACTTAAAAACGATTTTTATTTTACATTTTATTCTAATCTAGTATAAACAATAGCAGTTCTAATATGATTGGCTCATTGACAATTTTTCAAGCAAATTAATTCCATTGTTTGCTTTGAAATGTTATTTAAAAAAATGCAAAAAACAACTTTGCATTCATACACACGAAATTGAAAAATACTATACATTTGTTTGATGATTTATTCAAAATATCATTTTAAATGTTTGAGGTTGCTAGTACAAATAATTCATCAAATAAGACCAACTTCACCTCAGAATTTCAGATATATTAAATTAGGTACCACCAAAAAAAAAAAAAAAAATTTACGATGGAACTTGAGTAAAGATGATCTGCATTGATGATCACAAGTCTAAAATTTTTGTTATCAAATCTTATTTAACATTCCCAAGTGTGTAACATCTTTTCTTGTAAAGAAGAACACAAAAGGGACATTATATGCTGAGGGAGTGGTCCAGTAGTGGAGTAGAGAGAGAGAGAGAGAGATCAGACTATGATTGGGTACCCAACCTTGGGGCCCACCGACTTCTATAGGGACCAGTTCCCAACATACAAAACTGAATTAAATCAGTCTTTTTTTATTTTTTTAAATCAATTCACCCTGAGCAAGGCAATAATGCCACTAAGACACAAGGGGCTACTTAGAGTGAAAGAGAATGAAAAGACTTTAGAAGGAACCAGAAACCCAAACAAGAAATAAGGGATAAACCTCTACTCCTGTTCAAGGAGGAGTGTGAACCAGACAATGGGCAGTTGGTAATTTTAAATGAGTGTAAGCATTCTGAAAGCAAAGGAAATATTTGTCACAAATTACTTCCACAACGCAGAGAACAAATCACTGTAAGTTCAGACTTGAATATTGGGGGCAGAAAGAAATGCCGAAAAGTCGATTTACAGGTACTATCTCACAAATCACAGTCAGAAGAATAACTCACTCTCTGATGAATGTGGTTGCCAAAATATACAAATTTTTCCTCCCAATTTAAGAACACCAACTGCTTTTATCGGCTGAGCATTTTTTCCATTCATCGACAACTGGGAGAGTATGTCCCATTTTTGCATATCAAAATACTTTTATAGCGACTCCTGCAACGGACTTGTTTTTAATTTAAATATTCCGTCTTCAGCATGTCATGCTGAATAAGTGCCCTTATTTTTGATAAATAATTTTCTTTTTTGCCATATTTTCCATCGTAGGATACACATGATGCGCTGTCACTTGGTTTGACGAGGTAAGTCGCCATTTTCTTCACTATAGTGAGTGATAAGAATTGTGAATTGTCTGGGGTGCAGACAGGCAAGATTTTGCATGTATTCCAGTTGCTCACGTTTACTAATAAACTTTTTAAGAAAAAAGAAAAAGAAAGCAAAATTTATGTGTAATTTCTCAAATGCAAAACAATCATCAATTCTATTTATTTCTATCACAAAACACAAATATTCCCACTTTTCTTGAAAAGTTCAGTCCTTCTTGGCAATTTCTTTAACATTGTTGACATTTTTCTTTTTCGCTTCAATTATATAGTCTTTCTTTTTCTCATATTCTTTCACAGTCAGTAACTCTTTGCGTCTTAGTAGCTTTATTACTCTGCTTGGAATGAAATAAAAAAAAAATAATTAATAACTTGGGTATCTTTTGCTGGATTAGCTTCTTTAAATCTCAATTTGTTTTAATCATTAATGCATACCACCCACGCAATGCCAACATTTAAGGAAGCATGTTGGTACCACCTAGAGATTCATGACAAAGATCATTTCGAAAGCTTGTTGGGTACAATGGGTTTGATCAACATTCTTAGTAAGAAAAAATAGGAAGAATTGATAGAAAGAGAAAAGGATAGATTTTTAGAGAGAGAGAGTTGAGTCGAACGATATTACCTCAAGTATTAAGAATATGACCAATGAATAAAAAGTAAACATTTACTAGCAATATTAAAGGTTCAGTAGTATATCTGAAATTATACCATCAACATTTTTTTTTAACCCAACAGACTTACCTTCCAAAGTGATTTTGTTCAACTAGTAAAAGAAAGATATCTATAAAATACATACATGTAAATTATTCAGATAAAGAACTGTAAAAAGAAAATGAATGTGTGAAGATAAATGTGCCGATGTAAAAAGCTAGGTACAGCAACTGAATACTCACTTTGCAAAACCTATAAAAGAAAAATAATACAAAGGCCAACCAAAGGAAAGACAAAAGCCAGGCAAGCAATCCAAAGTCTGGTAGCTTCAAAGCAGGAGAGATTACACATTTTTTTTTTAAAAAAAAAATGTTTTTAATAGGACAAAATAAATGCAATAGCTCAAGAGTTACTCTATGAAAAATGATGCATCTTAACAAGAATTCATATAATGTTGTATTTTCTACTGTAATTAATCTCTAGAAATAATTACATTTTATCTGATTTATGTATCTATTTTAAGATTAAAAAATTTTATCATTTAAAGAAATAAAGAAATGTTATTTTGCCACCACCAAAGAAAAAAAAAGATAGGATCTTTTCCAAACAAATAATTGAATAATTTATTTTTTTGATTAAAAATAAAATTCACAGAACAGAACTGACAGTTTGTATCAGTCACATAGTACCACTGCAGTGCAACACTTGAATGAAGACTAATATTAATCATTGTTTTTCTTTTTAATTTTTCAATTTTAAATTTCTATGGTGTTACAGTCTCCTGTTAGATTAACAATTTGCAAAATAACGACATAGTAAAAAATGCTTGGACAATAATAACACAAGCTGAACTCTGACCTATGTTCTTCCATGTAAATAAAGAAAGTTAATTAAAATTTTTGTTTTTAATTCTTTTGTTCATAATCATTTTCAGAATATAATAAATACTAGTTATCTGGTACATTATCATTACAAACATGTGAGTTGCTGTGATAACTTTTGAAATACAATTGTCTTGACAATTCTTCCCATAATGCAAGTGGTTAGGACAGGTGAAATAATAAAATAAAAAAAATAAAGACAACACAATTATGGTTTTAACCAAGATGATGTAATAATAATGGGTATATGACATAGGGAGAGAATGTTATGTACATTAACCTTGTAGACACCCCTGGGGAGTATTGGGATATAGCCTCACCACTATTGCTGATGTGGCTCCCATAACAAGTAGGTTTTTAGGAGGTGGGTTTGCTAGCACCACAGCCAACCAGCTTTCAATTCAGAGTTGACTGGTTGCCAACCAAAGTTAGAGAACCCACTGTACCATGTTATCAACCCCCAAGTGGTGGTGGGGGGAGGTTGGAGAAGAGATAGATTCATATCTTTCCAAGGATATTTGTGTGAAAGTGAACTCAACGGCCTTGGCTGGAATTTCAACTTAAACCACTTTCCGCACCAATAACTACCACGCTATATGCACATCAATATATAATAAATTGAGCTGAACATTAATCAGCTGACAATATATATTATCTATGCACCTGTAAAATATATGTTTTTTCCCCTGCTATTAATATTGGCCTGATGTAAAAAACTGATCACTTTGTATTCCAGGTGAACAAATCCATCTTACAGATATTAATTCATTTCTGATATATATTTGTCACTTTCTTTTTATATAAACATCTGGGGCTTAGTCAGTTGATTGCATGATTTGTTTTTTTTTATGGGTTATCAACCCTTTGTGGATTATTTAAAGCTGAAACATATTTTGGATTGTAAGAACATTACTTCCCCCCAACACCCAACTGAATATTTTATTAACAATTTTTTGATAATAACAATGATTTTTCTAGTCCTACTATTTAACCCATACTGGAGGAGAGAAGAAATGGATTCATATCTTTCCCAAGGGTATTTGCACATAAGTGAATATAACAAACTTAACAGGAATTTGAACTTGGCTTTCCAATTTCGCATTTGAAGCTGATATCCATTACACTACCCCCACAACCTGGGGGCTTAGTCAGGTAATTCTTATAAATGTATAGCAACGAAAGGGCTATTTTGTAATTTCAAAGTAAAACAGCAAATCAAAAGGTTATGATCATTCGTTACATACCAAGTTTTGGATTTCAAAAATAAAAAAATAAGGCTACTGATGTAAGAGATTTATAATTAGCACTAATGCAAAAAATAGCTGGCCATTCCATTTGCCCAGTGCGTTTCAGACTACGTACAACCAAAGATTCTAAGCTCTAGCTAAAATAGTTTACTGAAAAAAAAAAAAAAAAAATTCAAAATGGTTTATATAATGCTTTGATAAATTCTTATTGACACAAATCATTTTGTGCAGGAATCTTTTTGCAGTAAAAGTGCAGAGTGGCAGGGAATTTCAAGAAGTTTTCTGAAGAAATAAAATCTTTTCCCTCAGAAGATTATAAACTTCTAAGGAAAATTATTTTTCCCAACTACCCAGGTAGCAGTGTTGAGCAACATTTAGCTGAAAAACAACTCACTCATAACCCCATTAGCCAATACGGGGGTGGTCATGGTAGCTGGGTTCATTGATAAAGGAGTCATCATCATGGGTGTGGGACCCATACCTGAAGAGAAATTGCGAAACAGGCAAATTTCACTTGATATCAAAACTTCACACAAATGTTGCAAAAGAGAAATTTAGCATTTAAACAGATTTATGCCAGTTTAAATAAACCAAAGGATCATTTGAGCAAAAATATTTGCAACCTATGCTATACCAGTTGTTATTTCTGGCTAGAAGTAAATATCTCTCTGGGTAGAAAAGAAAAATACATTTTTTTTTATTATTAAATTCTTCAAAATATTATTCATTAAAAACATTTTTTTAGAATATATTAAGATATTTTAAGGATCATATATATATTATATATATATATATATATTTATATATATATATATTTATATATATATATTTATATTTTATATATATATGTATGTGTGTGTGTGTGTGTTTTTTAGTATGATAACCACTGAAACAGTCGAAAGTAGTAGAACAAAACCATGGACTTTCGACAGTTTATCCATAGTTTTCATCCAGATGAGAAAACAGCTCATTTAGAAATTGGAAAAATATAGCAAACTATTAAACAAATCTTTTCAGCTGAATACAACACTTATGTATGCCTTATTTTTATATAATTAAAAAGAATAGACATTTTATGTCTATTAAATTTGTTTCTTTTCTAAAAAAAATCTTTATGTTCTCATATCCCTGATGATGGCTCACGTGAGTTAAAAGCTAGGGCCTAATACAAATTTTGGGCATTTTGACATTTACAATAGCCACATATGTGAAAAGTTATTTGCCTAAAAAAAAATCTAAACCTTTCTAATAAGACTTGTTTGATAAAGATATACTGTGTGTATATATATATATATATATATATATATATATGGGTATAAAATGAAATTGTTAGGAAAGTCTGTACAAAAACTTGCTGTATAGAGAAAATAAGATTTGGGAAAACACCTAGTATTTATCTATAATATTTATAATGTATTTTTACAGAGAATTATTAAAATTGTTTTACTTACATGTGGGTTTTCAGAGAAAATATATATATATATATATATATATATATATATATATATATATATATGTGTGTGTGTGTGTGTGTTCACTTCCCAGAGATGAATTGTCTGGAAAGTGACTTCCTGGTGTTACAAGTCTGGGGAGGCAATCTCAGTATGCAGCACCTTTGGAAAGTGCCTTAAAACCATACTAAATGTTCACCCCAGCCATGTGACTGAAATTGGATAGATGAAACTGTATAGGAGGTCATTGATGGTTGTGCTAGCCACAAAGTTACAAGTCATCATGACTGAGGGTTTGAGCATACATATGTTATTCAAACAGCTGATTATGCCAGATTATATACTCTATACCAGAAACTGTAATTAAGGTCCACTCAACATATTTGCAATATAAATGACGGATGGGCTTTGTGGATGTTAAACAAACACTAATGTTCCTACAAGTCTACCAACAATGTGAAGTGCATTTAATTAATGCCATTTTGAATTTCTACCAATTTCTGGTTAGCTCCCTTATATTGGGATGCTTGTTTTGGAAATAATTCCTTAGCTACAACAAATAGATTTAAATTTTTTAAATGATTATAACAGAGCATGCTCACATGTGTTTTTAAAAATTACCATCACAATTATTACAGTTACAATAAGTTTGTCTTAAAAATTCACTCTTGAGGATAATCTGAGGAGATTGGAAGTACTTGGGTAAGACAAAAAAACCATGACACCTTCCTTGATGAATTTCATTTTAACATCAAGAAACTGATTAGAGAACTAGAAAGGATTATTCTAAAAATAAATCGACATAATATGTCTATATTATTCAATGAAATATGTTTTCCTCCTCCTGCTTAACACATAGCTCTTTGCCAGAATTGAGTGCCCTGGCTGCTGGTCTAGTGCTTATAGACATCATGTATAGAATATGTAAAAAGATTCTCTTTCTCTGCCATGCGCTGATAGCTTATGGGTAGAGTCTCTGATTGATGCCAAATCGGTTGAATTCTGATCTCAGCTTCAAGCAATCAGATGTCTCATAACACTGATGAGCTGTGATACAGAGAAACAGGCTGTGTGTGTGTATATATATATATATATATATATATATATATATAAATAAATAAAGGCTCAAACACTAATATCCCATGGTTATAATTTATTACATTGGAATCGTAATCATGATCCAATTTATCAGGCTTACAGATTCAAAAAGAAATTTGAAAATATAACTCTGGAAAATTTAGTTTTTTATACCTGTAGTTATATTTTACGATTTCTTCTTGAATTTGTAGGTCTTCATTCATTCCTAATGTTTGATTGAAGGAATACAAGTAAATTTTCCCTCCTCATTTGCTATTAACAAGTGTGTCATGGAGTATTTTGTTCTAAGTGCCAACATTCTCCTTTTGAGAAAGTGTTGGCCGAAAAGGTCCCTAAAGGCAAAATGACATCCTATATATATATATATATATATATGAGAATAACATATATTTAGGCACCAAGCATTCATACAAACAAGTTTGATAAAAAAAAAAAAAAAAATCAAGGTTTTTATGCTTTTCCAATTGAGTATTGTACTCGAAGGTGTGGATAAACTGTCTGAAGTTCTTATTTTTGTTGAAGTATTTTCGACTTTTGCAGTCATTATCAAGAACTGATGTGGTGCCGGTGTGGTAGTTAGAATTTGTTTGTCTGCATCCTGGTATTCTTTGAGAAGCTGGACAAGACATTTGAAATGGTTGAGCATGATGTAATATAATGGCTATTGGGAATGAAGCCACACAAAAAGAATGCAATTTGTTTATTTTATTTATTAATTTTTTTTTTATTTATACTAATATAATATGTGGCCACATTAATTATATCATAACCACTTCAGGATACCACCTCCTGTAGTGAATGATATTTTATTTAATGCCGGCTGTTTATTTTGTATAACAGCTACTAGAGTTTGGAGTCTTTCCTTGCCTTGCATGTTGTAGCATATTTTGGCATTATCTACTAATCTCTCTCTCTCTCTATATATATATATATATATATATATATATATATATATATATATGTATGTATGTATGCAGACACTCAGAAACAAACATTACATACCCACAAAGTTCAGTTTCAAAACTAATAGTAGCTATTTCTTAAGGATATCTTTTGTTTACTGCTTTCAATATTTCAGACTTTTTATTTGGTTTCTGGTGAAAATTTGAATATAAATTGTCTGAAGTCAGAGTACTTTCTGCTTTCATAAGCCATTAACAAAGATTTTATTGTTAATAACATAGTGACTATTTGTATGCATCATGGTTTTGCATTATGTCAGTTTTTATCTTTTTTTCAAATATTGCATTTTCACCCACCATGTTAGTATTAGGTCTTCACATCGTGTTGATTTTTCACATTTTGTGAATTGTTATAAGATATATCTAGTAGTAAGATTTTCCTAAATTTGATGAAACTTTATCATTGTTGGATTGTTTTTTCATGGTTTATGTATATGCAATCTTTTCTGCAATCATTGATAAAGAGTTTGTGTGAACATCCATTAAAAAAAAAAAAAAATCGAATTCAATTAAGCTGAAATGTATTTCTCTTTCAATATCATACAATATTCAGAATTAATAATATTAAGTAAATCACATTCACAAAACATACCAACAGGCATTCCCATACCCATCGTCATTTGCTGCGTCATTGCAGGAGCCATTTGTGGAGCCATGCCAAATGTATTAACAACAACGGTGGGGTCTGCTTTTAAACTCGCTGGAAGATTCTTTGGTAATTCATAGCCTTGTAATTTTTTCTTGATTAAATGCATAGCCATTGAAAATTCTTTCTTATCCATTTTTCCATCACTGTTTACATCTGCTAGGGTCCTAGAAGAGATACAAATGATTATCAATGTTACATTCACATATGTTTAAGACGTGTAAAGTAATAATTCATCATAAAGCATCATAAAACAATGAATATTAAAAAAGTTACAAATTTTTACAAAAGAATTGAACATGCTTAGATTAGCATAAATTAAAAAATGTAATTAGTAAATTGTCTTTATACAAAGAAATAATGGTAAACATGGATAAATGTTCCCACAATAAGATGTAGTGTCAAAAGGACAGTTTTTCCCAAGACACCACTTTTTTTTTTTTTTTAAACTCCCTTCAATCTTTGGCAATGTTTATTGTTTTAACCTTTAGCATGCTGCATTACTTCCTTTTCCACTGCATTCTTTTTCAAGGCCACTCATTTGCAGTATCCTTAATGTTAATTTCACCCAAAGTTGTTTTCTGTTGCCATAGCAGGATATGACAGCACAACTATTAAATTAAAACACTATTGTTCAGAGATTAGAATCAACTTCAGTGGCAGGATAAACTTTTTGTACAGTAAATGAAATCACATACAGAGTGATAAAGGTTAAAAAACAATGATTAGAATTGGAATAAAAGCTAAACATATGATGAATGTGAATCTATACATTTTTTTGTTCTTGAGAATTTATAATAAAAATATTAAATTTATTAGATTGCTTATTTACAAGATTAATTTTATATTTATAATATTCTAAAAACTAATACAATTAAAACTAATGTAATGCAAATATTTATCATATACCAATTTAAAAAGGAATAAATATAAAAAATAAACATTTACTAAATTATTAAAATATGGGAACAAAACATAAGGAAATTCTTATTTACAATTTGAATTGATTAGCAATTAGCTGATACTATGACAACCAATCCTATAAGAAATAAATAATACAGTGTAACCTGGGTATAAGAGAGTTGTTGGGACCGGAGAAGAAGTCTCTTATATCCGGGTTTGGTCTATTTTATATACATTAACACAGGCTCTAATTTGGGATCAGAGAAAATCTCTCTTATATCCGTGTTACACTGTATCAATAAACAATCTAATAAATTATTGTTTATTATTTTTGTTGTCAATTCTCAAGAACAAAGAAAACGTATAAATTCACTTTCATGTGTTTAGGTTTTATTACAATTCTGATGATTGCTTTTTAAAACAATAAATATTACTGAAGAGCAAAGGTAGTTAAAAAAGCAGTCTCATGGGAAAACTGTCCTTTTGCCATTCTGTCTTATTATGGGCATGTTTGTCCATGTTTGTCAAAATAATAATTTGAGATTTAAATTTTTAATATCTAATTTCTGTGCTATTCAATGTTTCTTCAAAATAACATTTGAATAACTCAAAAGAAAAAAAAAACTACAAGGTTTAGAAATTAATGTATGCCTGATTTCCAATACATATTGTAACATAACAAAACTTGGTTGCCTGGACTTGGATCAACCATAATTTATGCACATGTAAAAGGGTAAGATGTGCATCATGTGATAGCCATGCTAAAGGCATGAAAATTAAGTTGCCAGTTGGAGCCAATTGATCAGTATGACAGTATATGTATTTCACTTTCTCTTACCTGATATGGGTGAAGCTAAATCACTGATAAAATGATGACCATGCCAACTTACCAAGTAAGACCTTAATGCAATTCTTTTTCAGAACAAAATACTGTCACATTCATGTTTACTAAACATGTAAAGTATTCTCATATATATATATATATATATATATATATATATATATATATATATGTATATATATAATATATATAAATACATATATATATATATATGTGTGTGTGTGTGTATATATACATACATACATAAATACATGTATATATATATATATGTGTGTATATACATACATAAATACATGTGTATATATATATATATATAATATATAAAAATATAGATAACTAGACTCGTTTTAAAAACCCTAGAATTTTTGATTTGCTAATCAAATCAATCTCGAGGAAAAAAAAAAAAGGTTTTAAAAAAGAAAGAGCTACAAACATGGACTTCTGCCGCTAGAAGTCCATCTATATATATATATATATATATATATATATATATAGCGCATCTAGTTGATACATAATCCAAGTGAATCCTATTAATATAAAATATTAAAACTAATTCACAGAGAGACGAATGTTTTATTCAAACAGAGTATATAAATTATAAACAATAGGAATTAAGATTACGCCATAATATTGATGTTGATCATTTCTGCTTATAAATTAAAACTAATTTACAAGGATTTTCAAATCCATCAGGTTAACAAGAAAAATCAAAATGGAACTTGCTTAAAACTAATTTTAAAAGCCAGGCAGAAGCAAAGGAAGGAAAAACAGAAGAAAGAAAGAAAGAACGAAAGAAAGAAAGAGTAAAAGGAATAGTGAGAAGACAAGAGAGAGGAGGAGGTGGGAAAGGAAAGTATATATAGAATAGTAAGTCTAGATATGGTAATGGTGTGAAGAGTTAGATACATGTATTGTAAACTGACCTGATTTCAATCAGTTAAAAAAGTGGAAAAATATTTTCAATAATTTTATATTCACAAATTACTACCAATTCAAAATTAAGAGATATACTTATATTAATAAGAAAGAATTGCCGAAATTAATATATCAAAATATTAAAAGATTAAAAAACATGATTTATTTATTTTCATTTTAGGAGATGTATCATTCAATGATCTTCATTTTAAATTAAAAAGAACATAACATATACTAAAAACTATTACCATCTACAAGAAATTAAAACTTCAGAGAAGATTTAATATTTATATAACAAACCAATAATAGAGGAAGGGTAATTGAAAAGGAAAAAAAACCTACATTTACAATTAGAAAAATAATGCAATGTGTAAAAAATAGAGGTGGGTTAATTAATAAAAGCAATATATAAATTATAATTAAGTAAATAAAAGTACTAATTAATAAATAAATAAATAAAGTAAATAAAGGTGCTAATTAATAAATAAAGACACAAAGAAAAACGATATATAATAATTAAATATAAACAATATATATAATTATTATAAGAAATATCATTACTAAAATATTACACTATTAAATAATATCATTATAATTAAATATTACTAAATAGTATATTAAATAAGTGTAAATAAAATATTAAAGGGTATTAAAAATTTATTAAGTATTATTATAATAAAAGATACTACTTAAAATGTAAATAGCTCATTAAACAATATTATTAATTTGAATTATTAAATGATACATCATTACACCAAATAATACAATATATATTCATATATCATACATCATGAGACATATTAATATTAAATATTAATGTATTAATATCACTTTTACTCTTTCTTTCTTTTTTCTGTTTTTTCCTTTCTTTGCTTCTGCCTGGCTTTTAAAATTAGTTTTAAGCAAGTTCCATTTTGATTTTTTGTTAACCTGATGGATTTGTAAATTAGTCTTAGTTTATAAAGTGAAATGATGATCATCAATATTATGGAGAAATCCTAATTTCTATTGTCTACAATACACACACACACACACATATATATATATATACTTAGTTGTATTGATGTCAATACAACTAAGTATATTAACTCTATCAATGATATTGAGTGCTTTCCAATAAGTACTGTACGTATATATATATATATATATATATATATATATATATATATATATATATGCATGTCTGCTTATCTATTTTTATCCATGAACTAACCGTTACTATATCATATAATGCTGTACTGAGATGGTAAGATAAATGTATTTCTACCAGCCATTTCAACAATACCATATTTGATGACATAATATGAACCCTCCCCATTTGAATAAAGAATATTAAGAAAAAATTTTCTGGATGGTACACTAAATGTTACTTGTTCTATATTCTCTTTTTGGTTTGGTTCAAACAAATTACTTTTTGTGCATTTAATACAGATTTATAAAATTTTAATATTTGGAGAACTCTAATATGCCTTCAACTAAGATACTATATATTATTAATATAATGCATTAATATATGAAGTATAATCATATTAAAGTGAATTTCAAATTCAAATCTAGTAATAGTATGAATTAAAATTCTATTTTCCAGACAAATCATACATACCAAGACAAATCATAAAAAAGAATCTTTCAAAAAATTAAGATCTCAACATAGAGCAATTAATATTAAGATCTTTACTATTTATGACCACAACAGAAAATACTCCTTTAATTTATTTTGCCTATTCATTTGGAATTCAGTTATTTCATTTAAGTTTGTAAAAGAAACAAAACGTAATTGTAACTTATTTGAATGAAGTTAAAAAATAGTTTTTTTATTTTTAAAATAGCTGTTGAAATTTAAAGAGTATGAACAAAGTTAGATCCCTTGATTTCAAGAACAAGAATCAAGTTAAAATTAATTAAAATTCAAAGTTTAAATATACATACACACACAAATGTATATTTCTTACAATGGGTATTAGAGCAAAGGCTTTGTTGTCAAATGGACCACTTATTTATTTTTCTTTAAATGATAAATAATAGAAATCCATCCATAAATATGAAAAGAATATATGTATGAATAAAGACAAAATGAAAACTTATCTTAGCTGATGCATTTCATTCTCTGAGGTACTTCATCAAGGCAAATACCCCTCAGATAATGAAATGGGTCAGCTAAGTTTTCCTTTTGTCTTTATTCATAGTCCTTTACAGATACAGATATACTCAATCTAAATTTTATATATATATATATATATATATATATATATATATATATATATATATAAAATAAACACATAGTATAAAATTATCATTATATATATATAATTGTCTGACAAGCCAATGCAACCAGGCTCACCAGATCTTGCTGGTCTCAATACCCTTTGAGCTGCAAGGGAGGCACATTTAGCCAAGTGTGTGGGCCTGTCTGTCATGCAGAGTTGTCCACCAAAATCAAATTCACACAAATCGCCTTATCAATCTCTTTGATTCACAGCCATCTCTGCCACTGCCACCAGGGGGAGAGAAAGGGAGTAGGGAGAGAGGATGACAATCAGGATACCTGGATATGAGCAGGTGCGGATGATAAATATAAGGGTCATTCAAAAAGTTCTAATCCTCACCCAGAAAAAAAGAGCCATAACATTTTTGTTGTGGCAACACATTAGCACTGCTTATGGAACTCATTCAGTCTTAATGTCTGTCACACACACCTCACCTATAAAAAGGTGAGGTGTGTGTGTAACAAATCTAAAAATGGGTAAAACAGAGGCCCAAGCAGTCATAAAATATTTGCAATTGAAAGGTATGACACCCAAGGAAATCCATGAGGTCTTGGCACAGACACTTGCTGAGGACTCCTCTACTTATATAACTGTGAAGAAGTGAGCTGTGAAATTTAAGCAGGAAAAGGACAGAACATAACAGAAGATGACTCTCAATCAGGCTGTCCAAAAACCTCAACTACTGATGAACAAGTTGATGTCATTCGCTATATGGCTTTAGATGACAGACATCTTACTGTCCAGCAGATAGCTAAGTCCATAGGCATTAGTTTTAGTTTGGTCCATACCACTTTAACTGAGATCTTGGAGATGAGCAAGCTATCTGCAAGATGAGTCCCAAGAATACTGATTCCAAAGCAGAAGCTGAAAAGGGTTGACATTTCTAGGACACTTCTGACTTGTTTCTAGGCTGACCCTGAGAATTTCTGCCGCAGATTAGTAACTCACGATGAAACCTGGGTTCACTACTTTGATGCTGAATTAAAGCAAACAGTGGAAACATTCTGGTTCTCCCCCAACCCCAAAGAAGTTCAAGCAAGCAGCATCTGTTGGCAAGGTGATAATTTTTGATTTTTGGGATTCTGAAGGTGTAATCATGATAGACTACCTGGAAAAGAGAAAAACTATTAATAGACAGAACTAAGCATCGGAATTAAGACAAAGAAGCAATCAAGTCAAAATGCAGAAGGAAGCTGAGGACAGGGGTGGTCTTGCTGCAGGATAACATGTCCATTCACACTGCTCAGCTTGCAGTAGGTGTAGCAGCCAACTGTGGCTTTGGTTGCTATTTTGTAAACAATGATGAGATCATATATGCTGTGGAGGAGTTTTTGGCACACCAGAATGCCACCTTCTTCTGTGATGGGATTGCAATGCTTAAGTAACACTGAACCAAGTACATTGATGTCAATGGTACTATATCAAAAAATAGTGAAAAATTGTCCTGTTTCTCTAACTCCTAAGTAAGGACTTACTGAAAATACGGTCTTCGTTTAATATGAGGTTATACATGGCAGGACAAAATCTCTAACCCTGATCTTTTCATCAAATGTGGCATTGGTGGTATTGAATCCTTTCTGATGCAATCACAGTTCAGATGGGCTGGTCATGTCATCAGAATCAGTGTTGATTGAATGCCGAAAATCTTCATGTATAGCCAACTTTTTCACAGTAAGCATAATGTAGGCCATCCTTGGTTACACTCCAAGGACAAACTTAAATACAATTTAAATGCTGTAAACATCCCCATAGAGGAGTTCAAACTCACTGTTGAAAACCGAGCAAACTGGAGAAACACCTGCTACCAAGGTATAACTAATTTTGAAAAGAATCATCTGAGAGAATTAAGAACCAACACTAAATCTCGGGCTAATACATCAGCCCATATGAGGATCAACCCTTCAGCATGTCCCTCATGTGGACCTGTTTGCAAATCCTGTGCAAAATTGTTGTCTCATACAAAACAAACATAAAAACCGAACTGAAAGACACCTATACGTTGAAAACAATGGGAGAGTCCATCATAAGATCATTATTTATTGTTTTTGTTAAAACTGTTTGAATGATAAATAATAGGGGGAGAGGAAATCACCTAAAACAAACAAAAAAATAAAAAATAAACAAAAATGAAATAAGCATTAGGATTCAAAAGACTTTTCCTACTAATTCGAAAATACATCTTCTATCGTAAGAAAATAAGTTAAAATATAAATAAAATACAATTTTTCATCACAATGTAAAAATAATAAATACAATCTATTAGTTGTTCATAATAATATTATAATAGATTGGTGGTAAGATCTCATCATTTTACAGTTGAAAATGGCCGCTAGATGTAACTGTAAGTTCTATGCTAACATTTCCTTCTCTCACATTTCTTGCTTGTGGCTTCTTCCTTTCCAATCAACTTTAATCTTCAAAAATTGAAATGTAATATCAATTGTTATCTTCTTTCTTCTTAATTCCTGTTCTTTTACTGTTATCTCTCCTTAATAGTGTTTTCTTTTTCACATATTCTCTCACACTCACTAATCCCTTAGTGGCTTTATTGCCTTGCTTGGAGTGGTGAAATGATTAAAAAAAAAGTTAAAATAAAATATTGATAAATAAATGACAAAGTCTTCTTACCAAATTTGGCCCAGCACAGATGTTGGTAATCCAGATTGCATAAAGAATCCTTTTGCTTGTTCTCCTGAAAAAAAAACAAAAAAAAAAACAAACCAAAAACATTTTTAAATTTTAATTTTTTAAAACTGGCAATATATGTATGACTTATTTTATTTTTAGAAATGCAACTTGCATATAAATTATTCTTAAAGAATTATTTGATACAAGAAATCCTCTAGCATTTCTCATTACGGAATGAGAACAATCTACCTCCATTGGCCGAGTAAAGGATTCAGTTTAAAAACACCAAGTTACTAACTAAAGAATGTTCCAATAATTTGGCATGATTTTAAATGTGAATTAAGTTTAAGCATCTAATGATTTTTTGCTGTTTCTTTCAGATTTAACAACTTAAGTTTTTGGCAATTTCGACCATGAAAAGAGTAACAATCAAACAACGTGTTAAAGTTATCAAAGCCTATTATGAAAATGGATGTTCAAACAGAAATGCATTTCACGCACTTCACCACATTTTTGGTCAACATAATCAACCATCTGCTGGTCTTTTAGACAGAAACACTTGAGATCTAGATGAAACCAGCTCTTCCACTTCTACGTGGGTGTTCATAATGTCACATTAATTTTGCTCATTTTCGTATGTGTGTTTTATTTATTAAGTAAGAAGTAAGACTTTTTTTTTTATTTTATGAAATTAGTTGCATTTAGACATAACAGAATTATAATGAACAATTTTGTATCAGTCAAACATTATACATTAAGTTGTCTCAAACTAATTCTATTGTCCCTGGGATGGTGTGAATCTTGAGCATTGCCTTCCACACATACCTGGGACATTTGGCAATCTTCACAAGAATAGAACTATCTCATTTCAGTGTCCTCATCCATTGCTTTCTGCCAAACCTGAAATTTATAACTGCCAAGTACACCAGCAGAGTAGTAGTAGGTGTCTGTTTATCTTGTGAGAAAATGGTAGCATCCCATTGGATCAAAACTTAATCTTTTGGTGGTGAGACTGGAGTGACCTCTCCAGAGTGCAGGCCTGGGTGATAGGACATAGAGGTCATATGCTACATGGACCATATGTATCCACTTCTCGGTTGTACTAACACGATTCAAAGGAATACAAGAAATTACATTTGGGGCCGTCTTGGATGTGGGAGTCGCGGGAAGTTTGTCAGTGTTAACAGCCAACCACATCTAGGGCTTCACTCCAGATGTTCTGTCTGTATTTACTTCCAGAAAAGAGCTGAAAGTTTTGTGGGATACTAAGGAACCTCTTCTCACCACTGTCAAATGGAGAAAAATGGCGTGGTGTGGACACATACAAGGTACAACAGCCTGTCCAAGACCATCATGCAAGGCACTGTTGAAGGTGGATGTAGGAGAGGACACTAACATAAAAACTGGTTGAACAATGTCAAAAAAATGGACAAGTATGACTGTACCAGAATTGCTGATGACTGCTGTTGATAGACTGTTGTGGAGGAGATTTAGTGTGGCTTCTGCATATGGATCCCTCCCTATGATTACAAAAGTCAAGGGAATGATGATAATGATTTATTTTTATAGTCTTTTCTGGGTTTGGATATTGCCACAAGGTAGCAGAGGTTTAAAAACACAGTCTTCCTTTCTCTGGATAGACTGTCTTACTGGGCTGACAAGCGCCATCTCTCTGAAGCAGCTGGTTAAGAGGCACCAGCAATTCACCTTCACACCTTCTCTGGCTAGCAACTGGAGTTAGTTGTCAGAGGATATTCAAGATGCATGCCATTGGGAGCATTTTATAGACAGTAGAGCTTGTATCCGTTAACACACAAGCTATGACAACCTTTGGAACATACATTATGTAAATATACAAACATTATGTGTTTTAAATGCTCAAAAAAATAATAAAACTATATATATATATATATATATATATATATATATATATATATAGAAGAGGTGATAATTGTTCCAACAAGAGAAAAGTGTATATTTTAAAAAGAAGATAAAGCTTAAACATTTTCGGTTGAAATGTGATTTTATTTTTTTATTTTAAAATGTCTTTCTTGACATCTGAATCACTACCACGCAAAAAATTCATTTTTATAATATGTGGAAATATCTACTCTTTGCTTGAAGAAGGTTGCAAAAACAGAAACGCATGTAGCAGAATTATGGAAAATAGAGTATAATATATATTTTAAAATAAAAAAATCCACATTTCAACCAAGAACATTTGCGGTTTATCTGCTTTTTAAAATACATATATACTTCATTGAATATGGCTGGCAAGAAAGTTTGAATTAACTTTTTATTAAGTCTTTCCAGTATCCTAAAATTTTTCTGTTTTGTAGAAACTAAGGAATATAAAAATTACCCATAATTTTTATTGTCCCAAGCGCTTTCAGCTACTTCGATAACCATTTTCAAGGGTGTTTTGTCTCTGGTGTTGTTATTTTTTTTCTCATGTTTGGACTGTTACATCATAAATAATATTTGCGTTTTTTTTTTTTTTTTTGAAAAAGAAGCATTCATTCCAAGATCTCATGTGTCACACACGACTGGAATTCTTGTGAGCTTCTTTCTATTTTTTTTTTTTTTTTTTAAAAAACATTCACCACTCCATTTCCACTATTAAATAATTTAAGGTTGATGGTAGGAGAGAATTGTTAGATATATAGGGTATCTTGAATAGCAAGATGTTTCTTATAACGTGATTTATATAGAATTCTTGTAAAATGTCTATAGAAGTGTCCAAAAGTGCTTGGGACATTAAAAATTATGGACAATCCTTATATTCTTTATCTCCTAGAAAACAGAAAAATGTTAGAATGTTGCAAAAACTTTTAAAATTAATTCAATCTACCTTGTTGGCTGTATTCAATGAAATTATATATATATATATATATATATATATATAATGAATCATTCATACAAAAAGTAAATTAGTAAAGTTAATGATATAAAATGGCGAAATCCCTTTGCTAACAAAATTTTAAAGATGCTACTAATCACTTGAATGTTATGATCCTTGTTTTTTAAAATTATAAGCTGCATTAGGTCTTTCTTAAATATATGAGCACTTTCAACAGTACATTCAGTCATCTTGAGAAATATAGATTAAAGATTAAAAAATTCTATACATATACAATAAATGACTACAAAATGTGAAATTAATTCTGATTTCTAATTTATTCATTTGATTATGAATTCCAAATACAAATAATATTCTTATACTAAACTTAGTCTGGCATAGGGCTACAGCAGTGAACCATTCGAATGTCAACTAACAAATAATTGGTCCATGAAACTAACTTCTCCTAAGGTAAGTGCATATTGGATTGCTTCATGACTGAAATAGGGATATTTCCCAGCAGTACAACAAGTATTGTTTAAATAGCAGAAGTAGACTGGACTCTCTAGCCTTGAGTGACAACCAGTACAAGAGAAAAAAAAAGACTCTGAATTCTAAAACTGTGGGGAAAACAATTAGTAACTACTCCACTATCTTTCCCAAGAAGGCATCGGAATTTATGGATAACTCATGAATTCATGCCCACATCAAGCCAAATGTGACACAAGGTCAAGTTTAAAGCAAGTAAGTAGCTATACAAAAACTGCATGTCCTCCTAGGCACTTCTCTCTTTGGAGACTCCTCCCAGGCTTAAGTGCACACTAATTTTAAACCCCTCAGGCCTAACTTGGAAGTATCTGGAGAGAACCATGATTACCTACATTCCAAAGGTACATGCTATTTAAAAAAAAAATAAGTGAATATAATGAATCTGATTGGAATTGGAACTAGGCTCTCCAATTAATAATTCCAGATGAAACCATTACACCACCTACACATCCAAGCTTGCAGGACCTGGTGACTGCTTGGGATACCAGGTATCCCAACCAGTCACCCATCTAGGTACTGACTAAGCTTGGTGTTGCTTGGTGATCAGATAACAACCACTGTTTCAATGTCATATGGCTGTAAGCCCTGACATTCAACTGAGAATGTCCCTTTTCAAAATAAGCATATTATAGGACCTGTAATGAAACATCAAAAATCTACAGAAAACATCAACTAACAGGAAAATCACAAAAATAGTTGTAACAATAAGACAAAATGAATAGGGGTGAAAAAAAAAAAAGTTAATGCCTAACTGAGTTTGGATTATCTTCTTAAGAGTTAGAAATTAACCCTTTTTTTTAATCACTATGGGATGATAATGTATTAGTGAAATCTTTCATCACTTGGTCCAGAACAATCACAGCTGTCACGGCCATCATTACTATTTTTTTTCATTATATATTGAATCAAGTGCTAGGTCTGTTGCCATGAAAATTGCCAGAAACTCTCTTACAGATTTTTTAGTCTACCATTTGTCCATGTATTGAATATTCCTGTCACATCTGGTCTAGTGCTTCCTCTATGTATTAAAGATCCTTGATAAAATTCAACAAAGAATCTGCAATGTTATCTGTCCTGACCTGGCATCTCAACTTCAGTCATTTTTCCCACTGCTGTAACGTAGCTTCCCTGTGTTGTTTCTATATTTTCCTGGTAATTTTTCTAAGCTTTCTTGTTTGGAATTGTAACTTTAGAAATTGAAGTGCAGTACTAGATTGATAGCTAGGTCCCACCATTTTTCAGCTGAAATGGAACTTGTGGAACTCTCTCCTGGCTTTTTACTTTCCAGTCTATTTTGATCCACAAAAATTTAAATGCAATATTAATCATTATCTTCTGTTTTCTTAATTCCTGTTCTTTTATTGTTCTCTCTCCTTGATAGTATTTTTCTTTTTCTCATATTTTTCCACATTCACTAATCCCTTGCATCTTAGTGTCTTTATTGCCTTGCTCAAGATGAAATAATTAAAAAAAAAAAATAGTTGTCATAAAATACTACCCAATTCATAAGTAGACTAAAATACTTGGAACAAAAAGTTTATGCAACTGAATAAATAAATGTTTGTCATTTAAATCTTTTATAAACATCAATCATGTTAAAATAAATACTAACCTGTAATGAAGCCATTTATTGGTTTCAGTTGGAAGAACTGTGCATCATGCTTGCCCCTCTCCTCAGCTGTAATGCGCCATACATCAGTACCTCCTAAAGGGAGACAAAAATATCAGTTAGTGTTTAATACAGAAAAAGAATTGAAGTATATATAAAAAAAAACATTTTTCTTAAATACAGGCATTTAGTCAATATATTGTTTACTTCTTACCAAAGAAGAAAAAAAAAAAAAAAATCAGGAAGTGTTTTGCACATCCATTGAAAAATATTTTCTATAACACAAAGTAAACATAATATATATGAACAACAAACTGCACTTTAATGTCAAATTTAATTTGAATTTATTATAACAGTTCAATAATAAATAGTAACAGTAATTACTGGCTGCTTGCATCCAAATATGCCTGTCTACTAGGGTGGCTATCCCATCACTATTTCTGATGCTTGCTCAGGCACATTTGTATTTGTTCAATACCTACAAAACCCACCTGTGGTTTATACTGAAATTATGCTGAGCAGACCTTAGTTAAAGTTTCTGGGAGAGACGCCAGTACACACAAATGCTCGGTCATGATGACTTATGACTTCATGCTAGCACAACCATTGATGGCTGCCAAATAGTTCCATCAACCCAATTTCACTCACAAGGCTTGAGTCAAGCCATGTCATAGTTTTCAGTCACTTTCCAAAGGTATCACATGCTGGGATTGAACCATGACAATAATATCAATAAGTCAATTCCTGACAAATCAACACTGGTGAGATTTGAACCCAGATTGGAAAGCAAATGTTCCAACAACATGCTCACTAATACATACAAAAATAATAACAGATTTGAAGGTATCTAAAATCACCTTTTTACTCTTTCCAAAATGGGTAAAAAATATCTCTTGGGTCTTTTATATACAAAATTGAGAGATCTGGGTAGAGTACTATTTACCAATATACTATAGACTACCAGTAATTATAGCTAGACTGACTCCAAAATACTGTAATATTTAATGGAAATAGAGGGTGTCATATGTAACATAAGATATAATAGTTGCCTAATATTTGGTTTCACAATAATTATTAGCATAATATATTCAAATTTACCTTATAAATTTCAATAATTACCCTATATTGCATCTATTCTTGTTCATGTTACTGTGCAACAAAAACTGGGAAAGGCCTGTTGTATGCTCACAAGGAAACGCAAGATGAAAACAAATGTCACATTGAGAAATGAGGATTCAAACTCTCCTTCCAATATATTTAGGTATTTATTCTAGGATTCACTTGCTTGGTCTGCGATACTTGGGACAATTTCTATGAAATAAGGCTGACAGATCAGCTCTTCCCTTTGACTTTTCTCCATACCAACTCTCTGCCTATCCTGACATATGACTGACAATTCAAATGGTCAGAATCAGAACAACCCAATGGAGAGTCTACCTTCATTAACTGGCAGTCCAGAACTCCACTCAATCCCAACTGTGATTATTAAGATAGACCCACAACCAGAAATCCTCAATGTCTAGCTTGTTGTCATTTGACACCAAAAGTCTTCATTCATTTATTTTTTCGTTCCCTTTCTGTCAAGTGGTTGACTGTTTCAAACAGCATATTTCCTAGATTTTATCGCTGGTTATAAAGCACAAAACACTTTAGACCAAGATAAAAACACTTCATCTCATATGTGGTTATCGAATTGAACTGAACGCTTTATTAAATCTACAGCAGTAGACTGTTCTTTTGCTCTTTATGTCTAGGGATATCTCATTTTGTTCTTTTCCATTATTGCTCACCATGTTTCCACCGAGTCTTACCCAGGGATTGAACTTACAACTACTATGCCACCAAATTCATTATTTATAATTTAAATAATATAAATTTCTACTGAATCCTTATGATTTTGCATTTTAATATTTTAAAATATTTAAAATGAAAAGATTTTTCCATCAAAATTAATAAATTCATTTGGTAAATATCCACTTATACACTAATTCCCATGATAAAATATAAATTATTTCATAAATTCCTCTTTCATATGATTTTCACTAAGCAATACATTGTTGGAGTTTCATGTTTCTTGAACAAAAATGTCGTTTGCAAAAACAACCAAATAAGATTAGTATAACACTAAGCCTAAAAGTGACCGACATATTTGTGCTACTGATTTTCTTGTAAAAACAACAACACAAAAAAAAAAATAGTAAACATGTGTAGCTTTATTCAATTCTACATACTTGTTACAATCTCAATTTTCTTAGGAATTGTGGCAAAATAACTGAATCAAAGAAAATTAAAAATGTTGAATTAAAGCCTTATTTTTATTTTTCTAAACAAGACAACCAACTTACAGACAAAAATACTAAATTATTTCATGTTTGTATAACATATTAAAAAGGTGTGTTGAAGGTTCAAACTTTTTTTTCTTCATTTTTTTTAGATCAATTCATTCCAAGCAAAGCAGTAATGCAACTAGGATGCAAGGGTATACTCCAAGTGGAAGACAATGAAAAGACTTCAGTGAAGAGAAAGGACAATAAAAAAATGGTTGGTTTGTTGATTTAGTTTAGCGGCATATGAATCTCTATGGGTTATTTAAAGCTGAAATCTAAATATTTTGTATGCAATTTTATGCCTTCAGCTACAGATATTTTGTATATAATTTTATACTTTCAGAGTAAAAAATATGTTTTTAGATATATAGTTTGTAGATGATAAAATGTATTGCTGGTAATTTTTTTATAAAAATGTATTTTTATACTTTTTTTTAAGTGTTGTATTGTCATTTTTGTTATAAAAATGTACTGTGGATTTTTGTTTGGGGATTCACTATTTGCCCATAGCTGAGACCCCTAACAGGTGCTACCACCCCAGGTTAGGGTGGACCCGAGAATAACAGCAATTAAGATGTGGTTCCATGCTCCTCAAAGCCTCCAATCTCCCAATCAGGGGTCTTGCTGCTGGATGTACACAAAATGGCACAAGAAGCTTTCAGGAAGACAGATGATGATCAATATATTGAATTAAAATTTTGAGGATTGTAGCTGGCATGGAAGCAAGAAATTGGAAGGGAGTTCCACAGGCAAGAAGTGCAAGAAAAGAAACTATTAGAATAGAAGATATAGTTGCATCTACCTAGTTCCATAGAAAATAGTGAGACTAAGTTGCCAATCCTATAGCATGCTTGAATTCATGCTGTCAAGGCACCAAAGAGGAAAGCTCATCAGAACAATTTCCATAAAAATATTTGTAGAAAAAGAGCACTGGGGAAAATGGCTGAAGTCAAGATGCCAAGTTAGGACTGATTACATTACAGACCATTGTTTAAATTTATTAGGAAAACTACATCACATCAAAGAGAAAGTGATTGAAATCAAGATGTCTGGTCAGGATAGATTGCATTACAGATCCTTGTTTGAATTTTGTCAAAAATCTTGAGATATAAAATAAGAGCACCAAGCTGGGATATGGAAGAAATATTCAATGCATGGACAAATGGTAGATCTATAAATGTGATCATAAATTTTTAGATGACATGAATATCAAACAGGCAGACAACAATTAAAATATTTCCATTTGTTTTAATAACAAATAAAATTAAACACTGGAATGAGAAATCCATATGCCTGGTTCCAGAGAATAAAAGTGCTCCTTATGCATGATTAGCTATTACAGGCTTGTCTTAAAGAAACTAATGAATTCTCTAGAACAGAACTTGTTTTTGCCAAAAACCAAGATTTAAATCCCATATGTGCAACCAAGCAATCTAAAAGAATTGCAGGATACCATAACAAAAACATGGACCCAAATTTTGAAAGAGTGCTTCCAGAACATCATCGAGGCAATTCTAAAGGCAAACTGAAGGTTTGAGGTTTTAAACAGAAACCTGGAGATGCAGATATTACAGTACTTCTTTTTTTAATATGCCATATTTTAACATAATGTAGGTAATCATGGCATTGCACAATTTCCTGTCTTGTTGCATTAAGTAACTTTTTGTCTATTTACTATTCTTGTCCTTGTTCTGCCAGCCATTCATACAAATTTAAGTTATTAGGGCTATTTCCTCTGGCTTCTATTATTTTCAATGTGTCCTGTGAGTATTAAATTTTCCAAGCCCTCTTTCTTCATGTTTCCCAGAAATAAGTGGTGTCACTTTCGAACTGTAAGCACCAGTTTCCTTGTACTTCCTATTTTCCTTAAATCTTTCTCATTGCTCATATTATTATCAGCATTCATTGGTAAAGTTCTTGCACATTTACAAATCTACCATTCATCTGTATATTGAATACAGCTGCCATATCTGGTCTGATGATCCTGAAGTTCTGTAATGTAACCGATCCGGGCTTGGCAACTTGGCTTCAGTCCCTTTCTCACCGACGTGGCATGGCTTCCCTCTGTCTTTTCTACAAATATTTTCATGGCAACTGCTCCGACGAACTCCACTCCCTTGTGCATCGACTACATGAATTTAAGTGTGCTACTAGATTAGCATCTAGGTCTTCACTCATTTATTGCAGAAATAGCTAAATGCAACTGACACTTCTACTCCAAGTTTCTTTTCTCACACTTCCCACCTGTGAAACTGCCTTCTATTTACTTGCTTCTCTGATAATTACAATCTTCAAAAATTTAAATGCAACATCAATCACCATCTTCTGTCTTTTGAATCCCTTTCATCTGTTATTCTTTCCTCACCTTCCACCCCATACCCATTCTTTTCTCTCACTTTCACTCCTTGCACTGTGTACTAGTGTCCTGCCTTGTTTGGAGTGAAATGAAAAAAGAAAAAAAAAAAAAAGAACCATATCCTTGTCACTTCATCTTTTTCTTCAACTGTAAGGAGATTGTCCAGGTGACCCACAAAAAACAGGAAATTTTAGATTTACTATATGATGAAAAAAATTAAGTAACATATCAAAAAAAAAAAAATCTATATATTTTACTATATGAATGAACTAAAAAAAAATTAACTAGCATATAAATTTTTTTAACCATTTATTGTTCCAGAATGTTGCATTTATCAAATTTTCAAGACAAGGTGATGGTTTTCTTCAAGAAAGAACATCCAACTTAGGGACTGAAATAAAAATGCCAAGTAA